ATCCTTTACAATGATAATTGAACACGTAATGCTTTTTTTACAGATGGGTATATATAAAGTAGTATTTTTAGCACTGCTTATGTACTAAGTCATTTGGAAGGAAAAAAAAAAAAAAAAACAAAAAAAAACAAAAAAAAACAACAACAAACAACAGAGCCCATATTAAAGTATGTCTGCTTGATGAATGTGCATGCGGCAATTTCTGTAACACCTACTCCTGAGATGTTTGTACCAGCACAGTGAGTGATGTGGCATGTAGCATCCTGGACTGCATGAGGATGTAGTTATGTTACATAAGGGGTTTGCACTGGAATCACTCAGACAAGTGAAGATTTTTAATTTTTTTTTTGGATGTAGACAAGCTCTTGGCTTCTGCTGCTGTGTAAGTGGGGCTTGAGTCGATTCAGTGGGGGGTTAATTGATTAAGAATTCTGTCAATTCTTGTAGGTACTGAAATAATCATTAATCTTTCGAGAGGAGAAAAAAAGTGTCTTTTGTGTACCCCCAGTTTTCAATAAAGTGATTTTTTGAATACTCCCTGGTGCTTGCAGAAGGGTCAGTTATGCAGAAATGAATGGACAGTTTGTCCTAGTGCTGAAGCCAGGTGCATTAACCCCACTAAAGGTTTGAGAAACAGAGGTCCTGACCTGGCCCAGTGGTTTTATCTGGAGTGACTGAGCTAGAAAAAGAAATGCTGCTCGAGGCTGTTTTGGCAACTACAAATCCATTTCAGTTTATTCATCCAATTTATCAACTCTTAAATTTTTGTTGACATTCTCATAATACTCACCTGCAAGGAAAACATTCATTAAAACAGTAGGCTGGATATATGTTTCATATTTAATGTAATCTGTTTGGTATGTCCTGCACTCGGCTGACAAAATGCCAGGACAAGTATACAGCATTAGTAAGACTCGGTAGAAGCCTCTCAGACTTCCGTCATGGGAGAAACAGTTTGTTACCTGTGATACCCACTTTTGAGGGATTTAATTTTAGGTGTTTAGAAGGGATGAGTCATACATAGTATTGTGGTCACAGATGACTGTCTAGATTTAGACCTTTAAGAAAGGCTAAGCAAGCTGTTTCATAATGTCCCCGTATGTACTACTGATTTATTCTAAGTGCCAAAGAATCGGTTTTGATTCTAGATATGTTTTAAGCACTTTTTAATGAGAGTTCACAGGGAGCTTGGACATCACCATACCTAGTCTTCAGACAGCGACTTTGCTCAAGACAAACGGTAAATGACAGTGCTCAATATTACATAATCTTATAAATAGATTAGGATTGTGTCAAAATTGTTTATAAATTGAAGAGCATAAAAGCTATGGGAATTCTACCTTCTAAAGAACTTGTCTTTAGAAATCTGGTCATGCTGGCTTTTAAGATCCTTACGGTTTTTTGTGTCTGCTTTTTGTGGCCTGAGACCTAAATCTTGTGGTTTGAGCCAATCTCAGAACAAGATGTTACATAGAAATATAAATACAGGTTTTTGCCCCAGCATACCTGATGAGGTTTAAGGGTATACTCTGGTATCACCTGCCTTTCTGCTTACACAATTTTAAAATTACTATTACCTATTTTTTGCCTTTTCCCTTCCATATAGCATTTGCCTGGAGCAGTAGCTTCTCTTCCACTTATTTTTAATTACTCGTGATTGTTGGTGTTGAGTAATTTTGTTTGCTAAGAAAATCCCCTTACAGTGACCTACAGACTTTACAATAATCGTGAAAGAAACTTTAGGCCTACCACTTAAATTGTAATTCTGTATTTTGCTCATGATAACCTAGTACAACGTTCTCTTGTGATGTATTAATAGTGTCCTCATCTAAAAGCAATGTTAATTTATTTTCTCATTTTAACATCCTTTTTGGAAAGAATTCAAGTTAAATACAGAATAATGCCTGAAATGTGTTCTTTCTCTCTGTCCTTTACAAATCCATAGCTGGAGGGCTCCCTGCACCATACTGTCTTTACACCAGCTGAGAGAGTAACTGTTTTGCATAGCAGTTCTAGGTTTTGCAGAGGCAGTCGTGAAACAGAGGACAGGCATTATGTGGAGGAGCTGTAGGGCTTTCATACAGATGTGCTGTACTGTCTGAAGGTATTTACAGTCATGGAAACACCAGTCCAGTTTTACACCAGTAATTTATTCAACTTGTCTGCATCTAATGCAAAACTCCCACAAGTAGGTGATCCTTCAGTTGTTTTGCATCTTTGACAAATGGTCTGTGGTGGTATCCGCAGTGGTGTACAGTTACCAAAAGAGATAGGAAGCCCCAATATGGACTGGGGTGAACACAAGTCCTGTTTTGCTTCAGAGGTGGTAACCTTCAGCAGAAGAATGGTACAGGGTGGACAGGTGGGGGCAGTAATATCTTAAAGTACTGCAGCCAAATCTGTGAGAACCTGTTTGTTTAAAACCTTTGCATGAACTCATTGAACATGAGTTTGAAAGAGAAAACAGCAGCAGCCTGTCGTGATAGAGATTGCATAGCAATTGGAAACAAAAGACTTCTGGATTAACACAGCAGAATTTGGGCAGCTTCAATGGAACTACTCTGAGTTTATTCTAATAGAGCCGAAGGCATGGTTTTGCCTGCAGCTTTTTGTTTTAGTTGATAAAGAACATCCGCTTGCAGTATCATAAAGAATTGTAGTAGCCTCCTAAATTTGTGGCATTTCAGAAAGAAACTGTATATGCTACACAGTAAAAAAAAGCCACCCAAAAGATCTTGTTTTGTGTTACGATTTTAAAAGATAAAACCATAGCCTTTAAGACTCTTGCATCTTTAAACAGTAAAAATGTAATTTGTTTAAAAATACCCTCAAACAAACAAAAAACAAACCCTAAAACTGGGACATGAAAATGAGACATGATTTAACTTAATTATAAGCCTTCAACAAGGAAACAGCATGTTCTCAGAATACTTAATTACAGCATTGTATTTAGCGTGAGGTTTTTTTGTGTGTGTTGCTCCAGTCAGTCTTCAGCAGAAAAAATAAAAAGCAAAGAAAACACGGAAGTACAGTAAACATCTTGAAATGCAGTTTCATTCTTACTGGGAAGCTACCACATGACTTGCTGAAAAAGATTTCTTAAAAACAAAAACAAAAAAACAAAACAAAACAAAACAAAAAAAAAACAAAAAAAAACCAAAAAAAACCAGCTTGCAGTTGTTCTTTGGTAGCATTAAAACTTAATTATCTGTAAATCTGTTTCTTGAGAGGTAATATCCAACGAGATCTCTCAAGCCAGCACTACAGTGTTTAAATCCTTTTAGTGTTGTATGAGTGAATTTAAGGAAAATACACTGAATTGTTTGATTGCCCTGAAGGCATTACTCATTGACAGATGATGGCAGAAACAGAACAAGGCTTTCTACTACTACTGTATAATGATTTTATAGTCTGAAGTTTTAAAGGTGAGAAGATATTAATTTTGACTGAATTCTAAAACATGCAAAGCCAGTTGGTGTAACTCAGTCTTCGAGGATAGTCTTTTTTGCCAGTCTGACTAAAAGATGGCTAGGAGTTGAACTGAAATGGGACCTGCATTTCTGTTAGTCAATATGTTGAATGTGGTTACTCAGTCTTAAAAATACACATAGAGTAAATGTTCCAGCAGCTGCATTTCTGCACTGACTTGTGCTGCCAAACAGTGTGAGGCCCAGCCATCCCTTTTTGAAGTTGGTAGCAGAGATTTTTTCAGTGAGAAAAAGATAAGGCACTCTTTCTCTCTATGGACCTGTATTTCTCAGAACTGTGCCCCCCTGTGCTCTCACAGGTGAAAATAATCACTAATCAGAGAAATGCTAGTTGTGGGAGGTTTAGTCGGATGGTGACTGTTATTAGTGTGAGTTGGCTGGATGTGGAGAAAGCGGTATTTTTTTTTGATGTTGTTTTGTGTGGTGGCGCACGTGGCAGCAAATAGCGTGGACAGGGCCCCTAAACATAAGCATATGGTGAGGGCGGATTGGTTATGGGCAAATATGGGATGTGTGCGGATGAGTAGAAAAATTCTGGCCAGGACTGCTGTGCTGGAGTGGAGCTGGGTGGAGACAGGGGTTGGGCCTTCTACAGCGGCTGGGAGTCAGGGGTGTAGGCCAAATCGGGCCAATTTTCCAGCGGTGGCTAGAATAAGTCCCAGTAGTGGGAGTGTGGGGGCTGGGGAATTGTAGGCAATTTGTTGGAGCTCTCAGGTGTTTAGGGTTGTGGTGAGCCATGCTGTGCTTAGTATTAGGCTGATGTCTCTGATTCGGTTATAAAATACGGCTTGCAGCGCGGCTGTGTTGGCTTCTGCTCGTCCGTGCCACCAGACGACTAGTAGGAAGGATACGATTCCCACTCCTCCTCAGCTGATGAATAGTAAAAGTAGGTTGTTTGCGATGGTTAAGGTTAGTATGGTGGTTAGAAAGGGTAGGAGGTAAGAAAAAAATTTTGTAATGTGGGGGTCTGAGGCTATGTATCACTGTGCAAATTGGAGAATGGACCAGGTCACGAATAGGGCAATGGGGAACAATATTAGGGAGCAGTGGTCCATTTTGAGGCTAAGTGGGATTTTGAAGGTTGAGGTGATTTTTCATTCTCAGCTGAGGATAATACTTTCAAGTCCTGAGTTGATGAATAGTGCTAGGGGCAGTAATTTTTATGGGAGAAAGGAGGTGGAAGTCTGAAGCCATATAAAATCTCATGACTTGAAGGAGCCAATATTTAAAGTATCTGTTGCAGCGTTGTCACAGCTCTTCTTCCACCCTCCCACTTCACTGCCGTTTTCTAGAGTTCTAAATACACTTGCTACATCTGAAAGATTTGTGACCCTATGCTGCTCCTATTATCGATATTCCACTGTGCCGCCTCTTGGAGCAAAAAAAAAAAAAAACACAAAACCACCCCACACTTTTTTTTTTCTTCTTTCTTTCTTCTGCTGTTAGTGCGTACGACCTGCGCGGTAAGCCTTCCTTCCCCTCGCGCTGTGCCGACTGGTTTGAAGAGTCGCCGGGACAGGGAGGGGGTCGTGCAAGTGCCCGCCCCCGCTTTAGCCGGGGCGGGGGCGGGAGCGGGCCGCCAGCGGCGGGGGGAGCCGCCGGGAAACCCCCCACCACCGCAGCAGCCCCGCGGGCTCGTCCTCCCCAGCGCCATCTTCCCCTCCCCTCGGGCAGGACGGTTGAGCGGCCGCCCGGCCCCGAGCAGCCGTTAACGGGCGGCGGGAGCCGGCGCGGGCCCGCCCCACCCCCACCGGCGCGCCTCTGAGGACGTGGCCGGGTGGCCGGCGGCCGCAGCGAGGGGCCCCGCACTCCCCCTCTCCCTCAGTCCGTCCGTCGTCCCGCAGCAGCGTCTCCGTGGGCCATGGCGGAGAGGCGGCCGCGGCGCGGGGCCGCCGCCCCACCCGTGCCGCCCGCCGGCTCCCCTGAGCGGCCGTGCCGGCTGTCCGGGCGGCGGGCGGGCGCCGCCATGGGCCGAGCCGCGCTGCTGCTGCTGCTGCTGCTGGCGGCGGCGGCTGCGGACAGGGCCGCCGTCCGGGCTGCGGATGGCCCGGAGGTGCGCAGCCTGCGGGGGAGCTGGCGGCTGAGCAACGGGAACGGCTCGGTGGCCCTGCGAGGGGAGGTGCCGGGCTGCGTGCACACCGCGCTGCACCGCCGGGGCCTCATCCAGGTACGGTAGGCGGCCGCGCCAGCGCGCCTCGGCGGGCTCCCCCCCCCCCCCCTCGCCCTTGGCGGCGGAGCCGCGCCCGGGGGGCGGCGGGCAGGGCGCTGCCCTGTGCTGCCGCTCCGAAGTGGGCGACCTGCCAGAAAGGAAAAAAACCCAGCCCCCCCCCCCCCCCCGTGTGAGAGCTCCAGAAGCGTGGTTAGAGGCAACCCCCCCCTCAGGCCCCAGGACACCGCTCGGTCCCGGGAGCTGCCTCAGCCGCTGCAGGTCTTGCTCGAATTGCTGGCGCAGCAGCCAGGTTTCGCTGCCTTCGCCCCTCCCGTGGCAGAGGGTTTGGTGGCTGCAGTGTCCTCAGGTGGATAACTGGAGGTTGTCCACGGCAGAGCGGTCCCAACTTGGGCCAAGGACGCAAATGCAAGGCCATGCTCTGCAGCCTGTGAAATTCTGTGGTTTTGATATGGAACCAAGGTGCTGACACCAGATACTTACAATACCATCGCAGCATGTAAGTCATGTTTACTTACAATGTTACCTCAGAAGAATGGAAAATTAAACCCATCCTGTTGAAGTTTGACTTGTTGGTGCAAGAAGTCTAGGGATTTCAGGCATTTCAGTCTGTTAAAAATCCCTTTTAACACGTGCAGAGCACACCGGAACAGTTGAGATTGTATATTCCCATGCTGCCTAGGGGAAGTATATTCAGAAACAGGAGTATAAAATGTGCATTTAAAAGACTAGGTCCTGCCTTAACACTTTTAAGAAGCTTTGCTGCTTCTGTTTACTATTGCCTCATTTAGTTTTTAGGTTTATGAAAACATAGTGACCACTTTCAGGGACAAATGATCAAAACTACACTTGTAGATTGGTAGCAAAGTACCCTGATACCAGGATAAACTGCTTGTCACTCAGACCTGACAAGAAACATCACACTGACTGAGTCATCATTAAAATAAGATGCCTTTTTAAAAGGAAGTATGTGGAAAGTGAAATGTGTACCTGGAACAGGGAAAAGAAAACCTGGTGAAGTCAACAGAGTCATGTAAAACTGATAAATACACTTCTGTACTAGAAAACGTTGAAGTACTGCCATGTGTTGTCTGAGTATATCAGACATACCTATATATTGTATTGTGGGCCCAGTATCGCGTTTCTTGTACAGCATTTATTTAAAAAAAATATGTTCTGGATGCATGAGTTTTGTATTTAATTTAATTTTTATTCTTAAGATTATTATGCTTCTCTGCTCTGACTAAAGTTAGAGAGGTATAAGGAGAAAGTGACGCCACTTTGGGCAGGATAATTTTAGCATTATTCTGTGTTGACATAGTTTGGGAATCCCAGTACTAATAATAGATTCCAAAGAGTGTCATTGCCAGATAAAAGAAATAGTCAACACTGGGAAAGTAAATATACTAAGAAGGGATAAGCAGAGCCATGCTGGTCTCTTTCAACATCTGTGTGCTAAGTGATGGGACATTTTGAACATATACAATTAAGGTTTTAAAATGGCTTTTCTAAAGTTTTAAAAAGTTCGGTGGGCAGGTAGACCATATATGGAGGATCAGTGAAGAGAACTGTGCCAGTTTCTCCCATGCAAAAAGCGCATAAAGTAAACTGTCCGTCTCAGATGCTCGGCTGTGCTGGGAGGTGTTGCGGCAAGAAAGGTGAATAGTCATTCAGGAGAAACTGTGACCAATGCGCTGTCTCATGCGCCCAAGATAATGACGAGATGAAAGACTCACATTTAACTACTCACATTAAGTACTCTTATGAAGTGAGAAAATGTGATTGCTAATTTAGCTGCATTGCTGTAAACGGGCTTGTAATTTTAGTCATTTTAAGCAGCAGTGTGATATTTGGAAATGAGGCTGCGATCACGAACTCTCATGTGCCTGGGCAGGATCCCAAGCCTGCACGGAGGCGTGAATGCTTAGTCAGCCTGCTGGCCAGCTGCATGGGTCTTGCTAATAGGTAGATGGGTGCTTGGCTAATTAAATCAATGATGGTTGGTTGTGGACACTTAGAACATGTTTACAAGTATGAACTTGCTCCAAGCACGTGTTGGTATGGCCGAATATGAACCTGCTGTAGTCTGGAAACTGTTGCTAAATTGGTGGTGTTAGAATTAGTACACTCTGTTGAGGAGCTGAGTTAACTGAAATACTTAACTAGTTTGATTGCTTGACCTCTGGACTGGACCCAACTGCTGTCTGGCTAGTTCCAAGCTCAGAATGAGCTAACTTGTTTCTATGTACAGGTGTGTACAGGTAACTTAAGATCATTTAAAACCCATTCTTACTCGGTTTAGCAAAGCCCGGTTTACAGAAAGAAGCGTTCACACAAATATTTGCACCAGTATAACTAAATTGTTTTAAAATCACATTTTTGTTTAAAAGATAGAACGGAGAGCATACCAAAACATGGGAGCAGCCTTAGCAGATTTCAGATCTATCACAGATAGTGTTAAATGTAATCAGTCCTTGCCACTATAGCATTCTGCAAAGCAGCAAACCTGAGTTGTTTGGAGGGAGTCAGTGACATAATTCGTTATCGCAGTGCGTGGCTTCATGCTGCAAAATGTGGCTCATCTGTTTGTCTTGAGGTTTCTTCACTGCGGTGCCAATGCTTATGACCAAATGTTTTCAAATGCAGCTGCCTAAAATCATATTCCTATTTATACAAAAGTGTACACACAGCCTGAATTTGAGAGGCATAGAGCACTGGTTGCTCTGTTTCTTCAGTGCTCATTATCTCTGAAAATCAGCCCTTTTTGGGGTTGTGTCAAGTGTAGAATTTAGGACTTTTATTATAGTTGTCTAAATACAAAAGCTTTGGTCTTGAGTATTTTTTTCATTGGCTTCTTTTGCTGTTTGCTATGGAGTGTAGGATTTTTATTCATCCTACCAAAAATGTCACTAGACCAGCAATCCAAAAACTCACCGCTTGTAATCAAAAGCGAACATTGGTCTAAAGGGCTGTAATAGGAAATAGGAGAACAAAGCCAGTGGAAACTAAATTATTCTGGACAGCAAGACCCATATGTTCAGCAACCTAGTGAAATCTATGTCACTTTTCTGTGTGATTGGCAAATGGCAAATAGCGCTGCATCCTTTGCTTCTGTATCGTTGGGAATTTTCCGTGGGTTAGCACCCAAACCAGAAATTTAAACCAAAGTTTGGAAGGGCCTACTCCAACAGCGTAGTTTAGTGGGCATCTCACAAGCGAGAGGAAGGAGGGCAGCAAGAATAAGCTCCTGGATATCAAGCCTGCAAAGTGTGGCTTAGATTGGAAGAGTAGGCTGCAAACAGTTTATTTATCGGTATGTAGTTCATTTTAAATTTAGGTCGATGCACAAACTGTTTTTGCATCAGGGATGCTCTAGCTGATTGCACGTCTGTAGCCTTAGTTTAATCTACTGTGCAGGCCATACATTTGAATTGACAGTCATCTCTCTGACACAGGGTTCATCACCTATCTCTCTGGATCCTCTTAGGATTTGTTCTAGAGATGTCTTTACTCTTTGGCTTATAAAATATATATTGGATGAACACATCTTTCTGAATGCATGTATTATTTTCTTCCGTGTTCAGCCAGAGTAGTTCAAATGCTGGGTTAATGATGATAAAAGCTCTAAGGGCATGAGGTAGCACCAGAGTACGTCTTCAGCTGGTTGTTTTAATAACATTTCAGTAGGACTCTAGCTCTTACTACTATTTACATGTAAAATCTTAAAAATGCATGAGAAACGCACATAAACAAGGGTAATTGTCATTTGAATAAAGTTACTGCAAAGCTCGGGCATGAGTGCAAACATTTTACAAACTTGCAGCAAATCTACTGCTAATCCTACATCTCTGGAAAAAGAAGATTTGCAGAAACCGTTTTGACTGAAGATTTAGTTTTCATAACTACTGTCAGTGTGGTATTTTATTTCAGGCACAGTTCTGATAAACAATATGTATCAGCAGGTAACTTGTACTTTCCATCTTTGTGCTAGACGTAATTATCCTCTAGCATGTACTGTCCCACGTACTGCATAATGCCATTTCTGCTGGCAGGTGACTCCTATAAATTTCAGTTCTGATGAATATGGCTATTGTAGCTGGATTTTCTCATCTGCCAGCCGTTTGCATTCATACAGAAAGGCTGTTTTGTCTTAATAGCTGTCACTTTGATTTGTAAAGAACTATTATGGGGGGTCTGCACCTGTGATGCTAATATAGGGGCTGAATAACACTGCAGTTTGTGCCCTGTTATACAAGGGCATGTACTTGACACAAGTTACAGTGGTCTTGGTCATACTTGGATATTGAAATATATTAGAAGATGCAGAAGCTTACATATCTCAAGTGATATTTCTGGAGTTCTGAAAAACTGTGTCTATTTTTTGTAGCTTGTTCTGCATTTGTGTATAATGTGCTGTTGTGTATTTTCTGACACTTCATAACTTAGATTTTTGAGAGCAAGCCAGGTAACAATTGCATTGGGTATCGTGTGGTTCTAACAGGTGAAATGACATTCATTAATGAAGTAGTTGATTAATATAAATATATTATTTTCCCTTAAAATATATGTGCTCTGCTGAGTTGTGTGAACACATGGGGAAGTGTTTAAAAAGCCTTAGTGAAAACTAGGATGAGTATTAAAGGCGACTCAAGTTTATGTTTCAAAAGCTTATGAAATTAAAATAGATAAGTTATAGTAGCCTGCTAAATACAACAGAGTATTCAAAGAATATTAAGCAATGGGTATTAATGTCTTGTTAATTAACTCTTTAGTAGTATTTGTCTAAGTGTTCAGCTGTAACACATTTTGAGCATAAGGTGGCATTTACTTTACTGCCCTGTTAGAGTAACTACTGAAAATTAATTACTTTAGGATGAGCTTCCAAAACTCATGTTCCTAGAATATAATCCTACTATCACTACTGTTAGTTCAGCTTGACTTCAAGTTGTAAATAGGTGGAACTGGGCTTGCTGAAAATTGTATAAATGTTCTGACTGCTATTACTTGAGATATCAAGGAGTGCATGGATTATAGATAAGTATTTTAACTATTTAGCAACAGCTTAATCATTCAACTGTACATCATGAAACGTCACTTGCAACTTTTGTTTTGGTCATCTGTTACATCAGCAGGATTTTATTATGGTGTACATTATAAAATATCAGCAGAGTTGATTTACGAGAGAAGAACATGCAAGGCAGTTTCGAATTAGATCGTAACAAAAGTAGGATAAGGCAAAGGAATCTGTTTTTTGTTCCCTCATTACATTTCATTTTATTACACGCTGATCTTCCGCCGGGATCCAGCTGAGTCTGTAGCGTCCCGTGGGTGCCTGCGCCGTGCCCCCCTGGGCTGCTGGGCACGGGGGCCTGGCACCACTCACTCACTTGGGCTTGGAGCCTCCCTCGCTTCTGATGTGTTCATGTCTCATCCGTTTCCTGCTTAACAGAAGTTGTGAGCTTGTGTGACTGGAGGTTTTCAATACCCCCTTAAAATCATTGCAGGGAGGAGCTTCCATCTAGCCGCTTGGCAGTGCCTTCGCTTTAGTGCTGCCAGTGCTTTTGAAGTCCTGCTGATGTCCTGTTACCCGAACTGGAAATTGCTTCCTTTTGATGCTCTGTAGCAGGGATTTTTACCTCTCTTTAGCAGGTGATTTGCTGCTTGTTTACAGCATTAAAGTTGGGAGCAGAGAACAAACAGGCAGGGAGCTTGAGTGGTCAGAATTTTTCCCCAAATTGCAGGGAGCAGCAAAATGCAAGGCTGTCATGTTGGATGGGATCTAAAAATAGCTGTAGTCGACTCCACCCCTCTATGACTTGCTTCCAGGAACATGTTGAGCTAAGGAATGTGAAGTATATTTAATACATGTGCAGTCTGTTTTCTACCATCTTTCAAATTCTCCCAGTGCCCTTTAGAGTTTTAAATTTGTCTGTCTTTTCATCCAGTTTTCTGAAATAAACAACTTTAATGTGAGCTGATTTCATGTGGGATGAAATTCTGTTTCAGATAAATCCAAACAATTTGAGTTCTATAGGTACATCTTCCAGCACTCAAAGCAGTTGCATTTAATAATGAAAAAGTCAATAATCTTACAAGTTTATTGGAGAAGTCATTTTCCTTTCTTACAGGAGTTTGTTGTGGTCATGTATTTTTCCTGAACCTTGAGAATTGCCTTAAAAGCATTGCTTGAACATTGCCACATGATTGATTTTACAAGAAGCAACATTTGTCATGCTTAAAATGACTAACCAGTATTAGCGTTTAACAGCTTTTCTGTGTGATACATAAGCTGTTTTACTAGTTAGGTAGCAATCATATCAGTAAGCTGTTAAATTTTGTATAAAGGTATGCAGAACTAGGAGCTTCTCATCTAAAAAGGTGGATGCCTGTGAAGAAGAAATAGTATTGATGTGAGTCAGAAAGGGCTAATTAGCATCTTCTATGACACATATTTTAGCAGTCAAGGCATTTCTTGAAGTTTGAACGCTTTAGACTAATACAGCAGAAGAAAGCCCCTTCAGGAAAATGCATCTGCAGTACACTCTGAGATTTAAACAAGAAGCTCTGTTTGTAAACTGCTGTAAAAGCCCATCTGATGAGGTAACCTCTGCCTCTGATGAAAAATTCCTCATTTCTCTTCACTGCTAGACAACCAGTTTTGTGTTCTCCAGACATCAGGTCTTTCTTCATTAACATCTCAATATCCATGCTTTCGTAGAGAAACAGTGCAGGTTTCTTCTATAAAGGGTCTTCATTTTTGTTGAGGTACTGATGTCAATTCTTTGACCGCTAACCAAACTGATTTTGGCTTTACAATCTGCTGTTGTAAATTTCCCAAAGCATTTTGTATATAAAAGTAATGGTATGGATGTCTTAAAATTCAGTAATTGTTCTGGTAAGCTCATGATGACTTAACTTTTAGAGAATACACCATATTACAAATACAGACATCACAGTTTTACTGTAAAGGTAACAAGACCTTTCCTTCTTGATTCTTACTCCCTTGTAGTAAGAAATTTGATTGATCTAGCATAGCATGTAGAGGCAAGGCAACAACTTTCTCTCGGTGTGGGCTCAGGGAACGATGTTTATATTGCTGTGGGACTCCAGAAGAGATTATACTGCTGAGGACAGTCACTTAGATGTTATGATTTTGCTCTACTATGTAAATAGGTTTGTGTTTATACTGCAGAACCTGACCCTATTAGTTGTAAAACAAGTATGAGTTATGAAACAATGTTTTTCAGAAGATTTCAAATCCAGAAGTGTCATTGGTATCTATCTATATTGACTCCTGAAACGGGGAGAAAAATTGACCTTCAGCAAGAAATAATAAAAAAAAAAAAGCTGGGCAAATTTTCTTCAGTGTTAATCTGGATATTCAGGGCAGATGGTTGGCTGTGGTGGTACTGTAGAAGACTTGTGTCAAAGGGAACTGTAATGCAGCTGTGCTCGCTCTTAGCTGGACTTGAGTCATGTAGTCCAGAAGAGATTGGTCTTTGTTCTGGGAGAGCAGTTCAGCTGAGCAGCTGCTGAAGAGGATTGGATCGAGCTCTCAGTCACTGACCTGGATACCTGCACTCTGAACTGTCTGACATGGGGATGTCACACCAGACCTTTCTGCTGCCTTTGTATGATGTGCAAAGCAGAGGGTTGTCAGGTCCACATAACTGATTCCTTCAGCCTAGGTGAGGAATGTTGTGACCCACCATAAGGTGATAAATACAGTATGAAGCCAAAAAGGTTGAGGACATAGCTGAGACCAGCTGTGCCTTTATTCTTCCTGGGTAGTGTGACTAAAGGGAAAAGAACACATTTGGTATAAATGCAGCATTATTCTGAAAAGTAGTAGTTTAATTTTACACAACAAACCAAATTGTTTTGCTTCTTCTCCTTCTCTTTCTCTCTTCCTCCAAATATAACATTTTTATTTCACTTTACCACATCAGGACTAGTTGACAAGAAACAACTGGAGCATTTGCAATTATTTTAAACTGTAGAGATTAGTTCACTGCTGTCCCTAGAGGTCTAAAATGCTGTTTCTTTGCCTCTTAAAATCCTATTAGTCTTACTTTCTCTGTCATTATGAGAGTGATCATGTTTCTGTTCCTCTCATTAAGTCACAAGCTGTCATGAATTTTTTTTTTTTTTTTTCATTTCCACATTTCCAGACCAGTCATCTCTCATGTAAAAACAAATCCTGCTCCCTCTGCTTTGAGGATGAATAATTATAGCAAATGAGTTTTGGCCTGTATAAGTCAAGTCAAATATTAACAAACCCTTGCTTTCACGTATTATTTCAAAGGTGAAAAGGAGTATTAGGACTAACTAAAGAAGGTGGATTCTGCATTTGCAGGCTGTCTGAAATAAGAAGAGCTAATGGATATTATGATGCATTTTATGTAATAACACTATTACTAAGTAAGTTTGTAATTTTCTTGTTGTTGGTCTGTTATTAGGATCCATACTATAGATTTAATGATGTGATGTACAGGTGGATCTCGCTGGATAACTGGACTTACAGCAGGACATTCAAAACTTCTTTTGACATCAGGTATGCAGTAAAGATATGTCTAAAATAGTTCTGTGCCATTTTTCATACAGAATTCCTAGTTAATCCAACAGCTCAAAATCTGCTTAATACTTCTGTATTTAATAAATTATGCAATAATGTGCAGCTGCAAACCTGTTGCTATGGAACACTTCAGTAGGTGTTTCTTCCCATTTTTTTAAAATTGTTAAAAATTACTTATGAATTGCCAGCTAAGGAAGGATAATACTTAGGCTAATTGGAAGCTAGCCCATCTGATATCTGGTGGGTGTGTGAACATGCTGTGTTGCAGACTTGAGCCACTTCAGCTGTCATCTTAATTTGACTACTTAAAGATATAATGTAGCCACACTAAGTCAAACATTTTTGGAGGTAGATGATACAACTGCTGCTAAAGATAATGGTGACATACATTTTTATGTTGTCTGTCTCCTGTGTGTTGTTAGCTCTGAGTATTCTAACAGTTTTTCATGCATATGCTATCTTCTGTAGAAAGTGGCAGAAAGTGAATTTGGTTTTTGAGGGAGTAGATACAGTAGCACAGATCCTGATCAACAATGTCACTCTTGGGAGAACAGACAACATGTTCAACAGATATGTAAGTAATGTGTTTTTTTCTGAAGGTGCTTCTGTTTTTTCTTCAAAGCCCTTTTGTGCTGAGCACTTTTAGTGCATTCAGGCACACATCAAAGTAGGTCCTTGGACACAGAAAGCGTGGACCTGAGGACTGCATGTGTAATCAGATAACTGTTAGAAAGAGAAGTGTACTTACCTTTTCAGTAGCAGCAGGGTCAGATCTAGAGGTGAATGTGTCTTGTTCTAAATGAGTGGACCCATGCAAGAGGATCAGTTCAGCTAATAATATGTCTTGCTTTTTGGGATCTCTCACAGCTCCAAGAAAACATAAGCTTAAATCTCTTATATTAGCTGCAAATCTGCTTACTAATTGGTATCAGAATGGTTTACATGTGAATACTGAAATGAAAATGCCTGTGTTGCAAAGCCTTTTAAGTGTTTCCATGCTTTTTTTTTTTTTTTATATATATATATAGGGGTTTTTATTTTTAATATTGGGCTTTTGATAACACTGTCTTGTGTTATGTCTTGCCCTCTTTTTGGGCTTAGCCTATGTCAGCATGAGAGTACTTATCATGGAATGATCTTGAGAGTGGCAAAAACATTCCAACTAATTTTATAACTTTAAAATATGAAATTATCCTGGGTACTAGCATAAGGGAAAATCTTTACTTTTCCCTTTAAAGAATCAAAAAAGGAAAAGTTAAAGGAAGAATGTTAGTGGAATAACTAAATTACAAAGGAAATCTGGCATCTTTATATCTCAGTGTTTACCACTCTGGCAGGTTTCATTGCAGAGGTACTGGCCTGAGACGTGAGAGCTATATTCTGCCACCTGGGTCTGTGTGACCTGGATAAATCACTTAGTTTCTCTGTGACTTAGTTTTAGCATTTGTAAAATAAGACATTTCATAGGGATTTTATGAAAATATAATTATTCACTATTTGGAGAGTATGTAAAGGATTACCAGTAGCAGGCTCTGTAGAATTGGGAAGTGATATTGTTTTGCCCCTATTTCTGCAACTTCATTCTGTCTCAGATTGTAACAGTTCATGAAACGCCCTTCACTCTAAAACCAGAGTGAACTGTATTAGATTGAGTCTAGGATTACCGTGACCCAGACTTCTGCTTTGTTCACTTGTTCCACATGACAACTATGTCTGCAGGAAGGACTCTGTGAAGGCTCTGTATGGGGGATGCTATTTGCTTTGTAATTTTCTGCGTGTGCTACAAACATAAGTGATGGTAGCTGGGCGGCTCATAAGTTGTAAAAAATTGCCAAGACTTGGCTTGTCACAAATGAACACTGTGAAGAAGAAATGGGTATTAGCCATTGGAACCATATTATCTTGATAGCACAGGGTAATTCTGAAACCGAACATTTATCTTTCTCTCCAGCCACACCGAGGGGGATTTTGTGAGCCAGTGAGGAAGCCCTCAAATGCTTTACTTAGTGCTGGTGTAGAACTTGTATTTGTACATTTTGGGGATAAGAGTGCAGGTGGCCTGAAATACAGCTTTGCAGCATTCATGCAAAAGGCAGCTCAGTGCTTTGTGGTAGATAAGCTGACAGCACAGTGTGAGTTGGAAGGACTCCTGTATAGACCAGCTTTCTGAGTTGGAACAAGGTATCTTTCTAAAGATGCAGATGAGTTCTGAGTGTATAAGGACGGTAAAGGTTCTCTTGCTGTCCTTATCCTTCAAGCACTTCTGTGTGCAAGCAGAGTGCTGCAGCCTGCAACAGGGACTCAGTATGGGGAAAGTGGTTTGCCCAGAAACATCTCCTTGTATCTGGAATGTTACTGTGTATTTTCTTTTTTTGGCTTAGGAAGTAGCTTTTATTTTTCTTCAAAATCAGAGCCTGTTGAGACTGCAGTTCAGATGTCTTTGAATAATATATGTGTGGTATTAAAATCGCAATGTAACAGTGATTATAAATCTCATAAATAAATGTCAGTGCTGTAATGATTTCGTTCTGTTTCCTTGACCTAGAGCTTTGATATTACCAGCGTGATCAAGGAGGTCAATTTTGTTGAAGTCCGTTTCTTATCAGCCATTTCATATGCAGCAGAGCAGAGCAGATGTCACAAAGCATACAGCATCCCCCCGGCGTGCCCTCCACCTGTGCAGAAAGGAGAGTGCCATGCTAATTTCATCAGAAAGGTAAGGGCAGAATTGTCTGTCTCTGGCTTCAGGCTTGGAAAGAGGAATGCACCACGTGCTGTCCTTACAGATGTATTCTGAAACCTGCAAAGTCATTTTATAAGTAGGGCATGTTTTTCATTGCAGCTTCCTTCTCCTGTCCTCTCCAGAAATCTGTAATCTAGCATGTCAATAATACAAGGGGCATGAGAAGGCTGAGTTTCATATCTAGGTGATAAGAATGTTTAAAAGGCTGTTTTCATTAAGGAGTCAGCAAGGAGACTTGCTGCTGAGAGAGCAGGATAGCATTGGGAAATGTGTAATCATTACGTTTTGATCCACAGAGTGGGTTTAGCAATGTATGCTGACAATAGGGTTCACTGTTGCAAATACCAGTGTATATTGCCAAGGCTGTAAAAATCTCAGCCAAGCAGCTTTGTGAGTGTTTGCTATTGCTCGTGTGCTGTGCTATTTATACTGGGCAGTTCTGGCATGTCCCAAAAAGTGTTGTCTAACAGAGGACATGTTCTCATCTTATTACAGTGTTGTGAAGTGTGACTTATAAGTACATATTCAGTGAAAAAAACAAGATAATATTAAATGAACGAAGCTCAGAAACTCTGATTTAAGACACGGCTTCACTGCTGTTTAAACTTACTCAAAGTAAACTATAATTTGAGTATCATCTCATGTATTTCTGATAGCTTTGCAGCACCAAGAGACAATGGCTAGGTAATCTTATTTTGGAATTTCTTTTTCTGAGTGTTTTTTCATGTTTGTCTCCACCTAAGTGCCATTCTTGTTAATAATTTTTAATATTTTCAATAAAGTACTTTTAGAGCCTCCTCATAAAAATGACTGGAAACCTGTTAATCTAAACCTGGATGTGATTTCCTTTTGGATTTGTTAATGGGAAGATGGACTCCATATTATCCTGGGAAAATCATTCAGGATTCAGATGTTGTCTTTATTACTACTTTCTGCTACTTTTATTTTCACTAGATTTTAGGAAGTTGGTTAATTCATCCGAGTCCAATGTGTTTCTTAGAAATCAGTGCATGGAGGAGCTTGGAAGGAAGAAGGCACTTAAGCAGCTGTAGACTTACATATAGAGCAGAAATGGCCAGGAATGATTTTATGCTTCACTGAACTACACCTTTACATTTGTAAGGAAGTACCTTAGTGCTTTTCCTCAAAGAAGTAGTTTGACTGTACTTGGAAGCTGCTTCAGACATTTCCAGAAACATTTTTAGTTCCAAGTACATGGCAACAACAGCAGCAATGTCACATTTAAAAGTGAACAAACATACCAGGACATTGCTAAAGTAAGCTGGCTGCTTACCACCTTAAAGTAATGGAGAGCTGATTATACGTTTGAGATTCAGTATTAAGTGCAGTAAACATATCTAAGTCTTAATAAGAATTTGTGGCAAAATGGAAGCCTTTCACTGGTGATGTACTTCAGTGATACAAGCGTATTGTTCTTACGACACACTATTTCTGATAGTGGTCTATGCTATATTGTTAGTGAAACCTGACAATCTGTCAGTGATCCATTTGTTTATTTTTCATAAAGGGAAAATGACTTTCAATCTGACTTGTTTTCTAAGAATATGTTGTCCCTGGTTTTACACTTGAAATAGGTACAGTGCTTGCTTCCTGGAAGGCTCTTTTGCAACTTGATAGGCAGGCAGGCTGACTTCAGCGATGCAAGGGATTGGCTAGACTTGTGCAATGTGGTTTGCCAAAATTAGTATGCCTCGGCTGTAAATTATTAGTCTCTAAATTTAGAACTGTAGGTCACTGTATGAGACTTTAAGGAGATCTATTGTATTTGCTTTGGGGGCTGGGGCTACGTGAAGCTTGGAGGAGCTGAATAGATATCTTCAAGGGATTTGTTAACTAGCGGTCTGACAAAGTTTGAAAACAGCTAAATGGAAAGCACTGTAGATACTTCTGTGCCTGACCAGCATTTTATAATTTTGACAGTTATTCTGATGTAAGAACCAGAACTAAGCTACTTCTCAACCATGTTTTTATTCCATTTGTTTTTGTATAACAGGACCATAAAAAGGGGAGAAGTAGTGAACATGACTGAACTACACAAATACACCAGACATATGCATCTCTTTCCTTGTACTAACATGAGGTGTTACAACAAAAAATAGGAGATAAAGTATTTCAGAAATACTCACAATTTTTAATCTGATATTGTTCTTTTAGAATACTTTAACTTTTTAAATTTTCTGCTTGCTTTGTCTTTTAGGTATACAATTAAATACTGACATTACAAACTAAGATAGTTCTGAGCTGAATTGAGAGCAACTTGCTGACTTGTTTTTTTGATCTTTACTGTGTTTTTTTTTAAGTGGTGGGCTAGGTAGTGTTTTGCTCTCTCACTAATATAAGATTTTGCTATACATGGATGTTTAATACAAAACTGTATTTTTTATATAATATGGGTATATTAGATAAATATAATAGCAGCAGAATGGCAGCAAAGTTATGGACAAGAAATAAGAGAAAATATTGTAGCCTCTTCTGGGTTTATGGAAATTGGAAACATTATTTCAGTGCATTTCTAGATAGCAAATAATTTTTTATTGCTGTTACAGCATCAATCTCTGTGTGAAAAATAGGCAATTGTAACAATCATTCTGTATTCTAGGAGCAGTGTTCATTTAGTTGGGACTGGGGCCCTTCTTTTCCCACTCAAGGAATCTGGAAAGATGTTAGGATTGAGGCCTATAACTATTATCACCTGATTTACTTTTCTTTGACTTCTTTCTTTGGTAAGTTGTGTTACTATTTTTTATTGTTGTTTCACCTTTGGAATATAAACCATTTTATCGTTAAACTCAATTAACTGTCAATTTAGGAAAGGTTCTGTTGTTTTGTTATGACTGTGTAGTTCTTAACACAGTGCACACCCTCTCATGTCTTGAAACAGTACTTCAGTACAGACAATAGTAATTAAAAATGTTAGAATTCAGAATCTTTTTTCGCTTTAAGAACCCCAAATAACTGCAGAAATATATGTAGTGTAGCTGAGGTTAGCCCCTGTTCTCCTGTTTTGAAAAATTTCTTTATTATTGGCATGTGTTTTTCCCAAGACTCCCAATAAATAAGTCTCACTTTTGTCCCCCCTCTATTTAAAACAAAGGCAAAGCTGCTATGGGAGTCTAGCTTTGTGTTGGGAAGACAAATGCACAGTGAGCCGAGTTTCAAGAGCACTGAGTTTTCAGGGCACAACATGAAGTCTGAGAGAGAAAAGCAGTCGTGCTATGCAAGGATAATTTGTTGAGGCTGCAATTTGAGAGGATAGCCTCCTGCATTCCTGCTACCTAACTTACCAAACTGGTTTCCTCCCTTGACCTGGTCTTTGATTTTCATCTCCTTTGTCCTGAAGATCATTGCAGCTGAGCAGAAGTAGTTCATTTTCTGTTGAAACTTTCTGTAAATGGTAATATGCCCTATTGTAGACCACCCGCATGCTTTCTTTCACTGCCTGTTGAGCTCAGTCTTCAGTGAAGTAAAGGCTAGCATGTGAGTCCTCTGCACTGGGTTGAATTTCAGCCCTTGGGAATAGAGTTGTTGTGTATGAATAAAAGAGGAAGACGTCACTCCCTGGCTGCTTTTAAAGCTTCCTGAAATAGCTGCAGGTCTTAGCTAGAATTAACGTGACTGGAATTTCCATGGAAAGCCCCATCACAGGGTCTGTGTGCTCTCTAAAATTTTGTTACAGTAAAAAATCTTTTCTGGTCCCTCCCACATTCCCACACCTCCACCTTCCGGTAGGTAAAGTCTTGCTCTCTGGATAAGCAGAAAGAGCAAACCTCTTTCATTCAGCAGAGTGGTCTGGAACCAGAGCCAGAGCTTATTAGTATTCAAATATAACATTTGAAAAATAAAGAATAAATTAACAACTTGAATTTATGCTGCCTATGCAGGTGTGTTGCTCATCAGATTTGGTGTCATAGCCTCTTGACCACTGAGTCTGTAAAAGCTTCATTGTTCTTGATTTCTGTGCCTAGACCCCACAGTTCATGCAGTTAAGAGTGAGCTGGAATTTCTGTATGCCCTTGGAGGGGAGGGAAAACATACTGTAATGGCTGACCCTTGTGGGGTGGGCGTTTTTTTAACTCCTTCAACATTTCTGAAAATCGGTCTTCCCTGGGTAGTCCTGGGTGTAATATAAACTTGGGAACACATTCTGTGCTCCTCATTCAAGAAAAGGCTGTGAAAATCACAATGTAATTCTTTGATTTTGGAGGGAGCTCTCTTTCTCTCCTGGAGGGAAGAGAGCTAGAATGTATAGATGAAAAGAGAAAGTAAGTGATTAGTAATTTGTGTATACAAAATGTGTCTTAGTTCTAGTTTTCCTTGTTTTGTGTTTTACTTGCTTTTGCTTAGATGTTCATCTGGAATATTTGAAGTATAGAATTAGCCAGGCTATGTTTGTAGATAGGTAATTTAATTGCTGAAGTTAATGGGAAATTTACACATGAATCATGAGTACCCTTCACCCTGGCTTGCCTTATTCAGTAAACTCTGTGAAGGAGAGGATGGTCTGAGGTTACTGTAGAGAGATCTCAGGGAAGTCATTAACTTGTTTCCTCCACCACACTTCTGTGGCAGAAGGGACATAAAGATACAGCCCATCAGGTCTAAACACAATGGGCCCAATTCATCCCCAGCATAACTCCATTCATTTTGTTTAGTGACTGTGGGATGAATTCAGCTCATTTTCTGTTAATACTTTTTTTGTTTCATCAACAAAAGTGATTGTGATTACGTTGTGATTACGATCTTTCCCAAAGAGTACCATGTTCATATGAGTGCTGACTAAAATATAATGTCTATGGGAGTTGATGGGAAAAAACCCCTTCCTGATGAATTGACTGGTGTCATGGTCTCTGACTTTTGTACAGAACTCTGACAAACACCTGTGTGGCTTTTGAATGAAAAAAAGAGAGATTTATAAAACATAAATCATATCATGTAGTTCTCTTCTGAGTTGGTAAATGTAAACACAGATATCAAATGCACTAATCGAGATGATTAACCTTGTAGGTCTGGTTCAAACACAGCCTGAAAATTGTTAAATTTAATCTGAGGTGTTTGAATTGTTTCTTTGATGAGAAATAATGTTAGCTAATAGGTATATAAACACAATTCCTAAATTCCCATTTTTTTCTCCCCCTCACTTAGTAAAGAGTGCTCAGCAGTGGAGTCTTGAAATCGAGTCTATTTTTGATGTAGTCAGCTCCAAGCCAGTTGCAGGTCTTGTGACTGTGAACATTCCCAGATTGCAAACGCAGCAAACATTCAGTGTGAAGCTTCAACCTGGAGAAGGCAGTATTGTGCTGCTTGTAAACATCAATAAGGTAAGGAGGTGTGTGTGGAACCCTAGCCAACTGCAAAGTGTTTCCCCTGGTTTCCAATGTGTCTTTCTGCCTCCATGCTACTTTTCGGCCTGCCTCCCCTTCCTTACTGTGTTCCTGACTTTACTAAAAGTTCTGTACCCGTATGGTATAGGAGAACTGTTCTTTTCCTCGCTAAAAATCTGTGTTTGTGGGGCTACGTGGCTCAGTGTCAGAAAGATGATAAAGCCTTTCCCTTACTGCAAAACAAAAAGATCACATCGTCACCAGCCACTGTTAAATGAGCTATTGAGGTAGATAACCTTTGGATATCCTGTGTCACTTCACTTAACTGACAGTAGGTATGTCTCCCATGCTATTGTTTACTGAACTGATTGGGACTAGAATATACTACGGTAAGCATGGTTCTCCCAGGAAAGAGGAAAAATTCCTCAAATTTCTCAGTAGATACTCTTTCAGATAAATAAAAGCAAAAGACCCCTATAAAGGACTTGTCTCACAGTAAGGTTGGTGGAAATTTTGTTGAGTAGTACTTCCTTATGCTAGCTTGTAGTCCCTTGGATAGACAAAACTCAGGAGGAATTTTAGGGAGGTAAAGGATGCTTTAATGAGGAGAGTACTCAATTGAAAAATGATGAATACACCCCCAGTGATGAAAGAGAAAAGAATTGGTCTGATTACCTTCAGAGAGGGTTGGGAAACTATCTGGTGGCAGGTTTAATTCACCAACTTTATTTAACTTCTACAGAATTTGTTTTGTTTGTGTCTTTTTTAGAAACTGTTGACTTTTATCACACAGGTGTACTTCAGAAAAGATATATAGGCTTGAGAAATGAAGACATCTGTGTCTGTTCTAGTTGACAAATAGGTAGGTGTCTTGAATTCGGCAGTGAGCCCAGCGTGGCAAAAAGATACATGAGCTTTGTCTTGGCTTCCTGCTCAGCGAGCAGGGCGCTGGTAGAGCTGACTGTGCAGAACTGAACCTGACAGCGGCAGGCCCGGGGCAGGGGGCAGGGCGGGAGCCCTGGCAGGCACAGCTGCTGGTGTTCTCCTCTGGAGCCAAGAGTGTAACAGGGGTTGCTGTCTGCTTTGCTGCCACAGGGCACCGTTAGATCTGTGGGTGAGCAGTGCGCTGGGAGCAGGAATCTGGGGCTTCTGATAATTCTGGTAGTTAATAACGTTTGAGAGTCTGCCCTCAAACCTTTGTATGTTTTACTGGCTCTACTGATTTTCTCTATTGCTGTGTAACTCTGCATTTGTTTCCATGGTTTGAATGCATTATGTGTGTATTCTCAAGTTTTCTTGTCAGTTGTTTGAGTAGAGAAAAAGCATGCATTAAAAGCAAGCAGGGTATTTATGTTCTAGTATACACACTCAACTATTTTCATATTTATGTGCTTTGTTTTACTTTGACCTGAAAGCACAGAAGCATACAAACATATGATTTTTGTCATTGTTGTTTTCTGACATGCAAGTTGCACGAGCAATTTCACATACCCAGTTTCACTTAAAACAATCATTAATCTCTGCTTAGCCTTTTCAGGGATTACATTAAGCAGGCACTGCAATGTGAAACTTTAGAAATTATTTTAGTTTATTTAATTGCCCCACCCCCAGCCTCAGAAGAAATCTGTTAGCAGAGTATGACTGCAAGTTTGTGAGGAAGCACTTCCTTCAGAGCAGAGACAACAGTGTTTTGTTATTCTTTATACACAAAAGGTTTTGCTGCATGAATTCACATCAGCTGATTTTACGAGAAGCCCTGCAACATGTTCTCATGTATCGATGAGCCTAATGGGGAGCCCTTACTCTGTACAACAGGCTTGTGTGGTGTATGTTGAATACTGAGACTTCACCAGAAATTCATTTCTAGTTGAGAATTTAGTGCAGATTATGTTGCAAAGTCAGTAGTGGTGTATATCACCTGAGATGTGCAGGAGTCTTCCTGCAAGTGCCACACAAAGTGCTGTGTTGCTAACATGACAGCATTTTGCTTATCAGCTAATGGCGAGCGTGAGGATGACATCATTAGTGGCCAATGAGACACTCCAGCCATGCCAGGCAGCTGCGAACGCTCCCTTGTTGTTGAGGCACACGCTGATTTTGTGCTTCCGTTTGTATCCGTGCAACACAGAGATTAGTACTTCTGCACAAGTAGTTATGATATTTCTATGTTGGGGAAGCTGAGCTATTAGTAGATAATTAATGATTGTGTCCAAGTATGGTACAGCAAAACATATTGTTGGGCTGCTCTCTGGCCTCATTTTATTTGAAAAGATTGAGGCACTCCTTAATGACTCTATTCAGTGCTGATCCCTCCATTGTTTGGTTGCATGCATTATTGCTTTCTTTCCATGATTTTTGTGTTGTGCACTCAACTGGCAAATGTTGGCAATAGGATTGAGCAGCAGAAGTAGGCTGCTGGAATGAAGATATAAATATGACTCTGTGACGAGAAAAATGAGAAAATTAAATCATTCTGTCATCCTAGAAGTAGTTTTTTGATGTTTGTAAAATTTATGGAGTACTAGTGATGTGATCAAAAAGCATAGAGAAAAAGCAGAAGATACTGAAAAGAAAGAATGAAACTTACAGTTTGACACAAAAGCTTGACCTAAGTGAGGCAGTCAGTATGGTCATATATTATTGAAAAGTGTCACCTCTATTTTGAATGTTCTATGTGATAGGTAAAAGGGTCAATGAGAGGAGGGTCATGTTACAGACACTGGTGAGCAATGTCTGCTCCTGACACAGATATTTGAGTTTTGGAGGAAGGTTCTATCCATGTACCTCAGCTGAGGGGTATCAGCTAGACGTGCGCATGCATGTGTATGTGTGCTCAAAACCCTTTGTAGACACAAGATGAAGTGGTTGCCTGGACTTCAGTGGAAGAAATCATATTTCTGTCTTTAAATAATTTTCACTTCAGAACTGCAGCTGGAGAGATCCCAGCTACCATGGCTCAGCTGAGGCACATAAACTCATTAGACTTGTGGTAATTGAAAGATATTGCTATAAGGGAAGAGCAACTGACATCATCTTCCTGCACTTGTGCAAAGCTTCTGACACTGTCTCACAAGACATCCGTGTCTCTAAGTTAGAGAGACATGGATGTGACAGATGGACCACTTGGTGGATAAGGAATTGGCTGGATGGTCACACTCAAAAAGTTGCAGTCAATGGATCAATGTCTGAGTGGAGAGCAGTGACAAGTGGCATTCCTCAGGGGTCAGTGTTGGGACCAGCGCTGTTTAACGTCTTTGTCGGTGACATGGACAGTGGGATTGAGCGCTCCCTCAGCAAGTTTGCTGATGGCACCAAGCTGTGTGGTGCGGTTGACACACTGGAGGGAAGGGATGCCATCCGGAGGGACCTGGACAGGCTTGAGAAGTGGACCCATGCAAACCTCATGAAATTCAACAAGGCCAAACACAAGGTCCCGCACATGTGTTGGGGCAATTCCAAGCACAAATACAGCCTGGGTAAGGAGTGCACTGAGAGCAGCCCTGCGGCGAAGGACTTGGGAGTAGTGCTGGATGGAAAACTGACTATGAACCGGCAGTGTGTGCTTGCAGCCCAGAAAGCCAGCTGTACCCTGGGCTGCATCAAGAGAATTGTGGCCAGCTGGTCAAGGGAGGGGATGCTCCCCCTCTACTCTGCTCTGGTGAGACCCCACCTGCAGTGCTGTACCCAGCTCTGGGGCCCCTGGCATAAGAAAGACATGGACCAGTTGGAGCAGGTCCAGAGGAGGCCATGAAGATGCTCAGGGGGCTGGAGCACCTCCCCTGTGAGGCCAGGCTGAGAGAGTTGGGGTTGTTCAGCCTGGAGAAGAGAAGGCTCTGGGGGGAGACCTTATAGCGGCCTTACAGTGCTTAAAGGGGGCTACAGGAAAGATGGGGAGGGACTCTTTGTCAGGGAGTGTAGTGACAGGAAAAGGCATAATGGTTTTACACTGTTAGAGGGTAGATTTAGATTAGCTATTAGGACGAAATTCTTCCCTGTGCAGGTGATGAGGCCCTGGCCCAGGGTGCCCAGAGCAGCTGTGGCTGCCCCCTCCCTGGAAGGGTTCACAGCCAGGCTGGATGGGGCTGGGAGCAACCTGGGCTGGGGGAAGGTGTCCCTGCCCATGGCAGGGGGGTTAGAACTAGATGGTCTTCAAGGTCCCTTCCAGCCCAACCCATTCTGTGATATCTGAGCCCCAAGGTGCATGTTATCTCTTTTTATACATATTGCTCTCACTTTGTCTCTTGTATGTTCAAGAGTTCTACGGTGGAGGCTTGGTGGCCAAATGGACATGGAAAGCAAACTGGATACGACATGACAACAACTTTCATCATGGAGACAGGATACCAGATTGAGAAGTTTTCAAAGGTGAGCCTTTCAGCTTGGTTACAGCTGATATTGCACTGCTATTGTTAGGGCATCTGCTCTGCATAGCAGATATCTGGAGGTCTTAAATATTTTGCTGGATTGTAATATGCATGTGAAAATGCTAATGAGAAACAAGAGGTTTTTTTAATGTCACAGTGTATGTTTACCTGTTTTCTGGTAGACCCAGCTTCTGTGAACTCCTTTACTCTCATTCAGACTCAGAGATGGCTTACAGTTAGTTGGAAACCTCAAAAAGGAAAAGATGTTTACTTAATAAGTTTTCTATCTCATGAAAAAAAGTACTTTTAAATGTGATGTATCAGGCACTGAAAAACCCTCTTAGATTTCTATAGATTATGTGAAAGTTTATTACTGAGTTTTTTCTTTTTAGTTCAAATTTTAAAAAAATTGAGATAGATACATTCCTAAAAAGCTAACATACATGAATTTATTATAATGTGGTAGATGTGCTTCAGATTTAAGAAGAGATCACATCTTAAATAGGACCATAAAAGCAATATTTAGGGATATTTGCATAAGGGTTCCTGCAACACACTGACTGTATAATTACCTGTTTTTTTTTTACTAAAAAGCCTGGAAGAGGTAATTTTAAATTGTCCATTGGGAAAAAAAAAAAAAAGTCATAGAAATTAGACTGGGCTCCTTATGCCATTAACATATGGAAACAACCAAGTAAATTTACAGATTTATTAGATAGTTCTGATGTGTATTGCTTCACTACAAACTAATGTGGTCACCGGGCATCTAAAACTACTGTTTGCTGTAATGTTTGTGCATGTGAAAAATCCTGTGAAAAGCAGTAGCTTCTGGAGTCCTAGTCTTTCTAGGGCTAGCCCTTAGTTTGATTATGAAATCATAATAATAATTCTTTGCTATTCTTAGCAACTTAATTTTAAAGCAGTTAAAAAACCACACCAAATAAACATTGTATATTTTGCTTGGAAAAACTGGTTGTAGGCTAGAATGCCTGTAAAAAGCAAAATTCAGTTGTTACTGTATGAAAACTGCACAATGATAGGAAAACTAATTGATTCCACTCAGGTAACTGCATCAGGATATTTCATAGAACCCTGTGGCATGTGATCATAGGGACTTAATGGTCTACAAAAGATATCCAGCAGCCTCTTCTCTTTTTTCTTCTTAAGGGGAAGGATGGGAAAAAAAGCAAATGCACCACATAGTGGGCATTATAAATTAACTAGCATATGAAGCCCTTACAGATTCATAGTGTAAAGTCTAGTCTTCCTTCACGTGTTGTGCAAAGCTCTGTCTTGGATTCTGAGAGATACACACACAGCCCACCACCCCCATCCCCCGCCCCGAGCTGTACGAGTGGAAAAAGTCTCCATTTGCAGTTTTTCATGTTCTAGCACAATTTGCTCTCATATCAGCAGAACTGAATAGCAACATTCATATTACTTAATAAGAACTCAGAGTAGCTCAGGAGATACAATAAAGGATAAATGTTTCTGAAAGTTGTTGTTCTGTTGTCAGTTCTGATGTCCACCTAGTACCGTATTCAGGTGGAACACATTTCTCACCCCCACCCCTCTTTTTAAAAAGGGAAAAAAAAAGGGTGAGACATTTCACAAGTGGTTTGTCTCCATATGCGTATCTACATAACTTTGGACAGGTGAAAACTAAAGGGCGAGAGCTGTATGTGTGAGAAAACACAGCTTGGTCTTATGTCAGATTTGGCTACCCTTTACTTGAACTGCTCTGGTTTCTGACAAGTTAGTGTCCCAGTATTGGCTGAGATAGAGTTAATTTTCCTCCTGCTAGCTGGTACAGCACTGTGTTTTGGATTTAGCATGAGAATAATGTTGATAACACACTGTTTTAGTTGTTGCTAAGTAGTGCTTATCCTAAGTTAAGGATTTTTCAGTTTCCTGTGCTTTGCCAGCAAGCAGGTGGGCAAGGAGCTGGGAGGGAGCCTGGCCCCTGAACCAGCCAAGGGGATGTTCCACACCATAGAGCATCATGCCCAGTATATAAACTGGGGTGAGTTCTCAGCGTTGGGGGGGGCTGATCGCTGCTCAGGGACTGGCTGGGCATTGGTCAGCAGGTGGTGAGCAATTGCATTGCACATCATTTGTCTTTTCCTGGGTTTTATTTCTCTCTCTTTTTTTTTTTTTTGTCTTCCCTTTCATTACTATTATTATTATATTTTATTTCAGTTATTAAACTGTTCTTATGTCAACCCGTGAGTTTTACTTTTTTCCCAGTTATCCTCCCTATCCCACCAGGGCAGAGTGGGGGAGGAGGAATGAGAGAGCAGCTGCATGGTGCTTAGTTGCTATCTGGGGTTAAACCACGACAAGTAGTTTCCAAAACATTAACTAATCCTTTGGGAATATTTTTGGGTAGCTTCCCATTATGTACTTTCAGGAGCTCTATAGACCTCTAGCCAGCTGTGCTGGGAACCTCTTTGCCTGAGGGAAGCACGCACTTACTCCTGTTGAGAGGATCAGAAAACCAAAAGAGAATAAAGCCAACATCCAGGACAGAGTTGGTTTTGGTTTTGTTTTGTTTTTCTATTTGAATACTTTGGTTTAGAGTTTGTTTCTCAGGGTAATATGAAACAAAGTCATAGTCAGAAATTATCTCAGAATGAAATTTGTTTTCTTGAGGGAAGGTCTATGCAGTCTTGTTTGCTATTGATAAGTTGCTTTTCTCCTGCCGTGCCTACATCAAGGAATTTATTACCTCTTTCATTGCCTCATAAGGCATCTGCTTGCTTTTCGATTTTGTTTCCCCATCTTTCTGTATGCTTACTTCTTCAACACGGTAATCAGAGTTTTTTATTTCATAAGGCTCTCTTAGTACTTGGAAGATCTTAACCTCTAGCTTTTTTTCCCTCCTTCTCTTTACATCCTCTTGCCCCTCCAGGCTTTTTAGTGTGACTTCCAGAAGTCCTTCCTTTTGGCTTTGTAGTTTTCACACCGCTTTCATGCTGCGTGCTAATTTGTTAGGTCACTGGGGCGTTCTGTGATCTTATTTCAGCTCTAGGCATCTTCATCCCTATTACTTTTCTTACTGCTAAATCTGGGAATGCCAAATGTGATCCACAGGTCACTTAACTGGATACAAAGCCTTTGTATATGACTTAAAAAGACAAGTATCTGTTTCTTAGTTGTGCAGAGAGCCAGCTGATTGGTCTGTAGTGGCTAGAGAGCCTCCTCTGTGTGCTTCAAGACAGGGAGAAATGATCAGTCTATCGTTCAGATTTCAAGGTGGCCAAGGTCTCAGTAGCCAGAAAGGCTTGTAACCAAGCATGCTAGATGCTAGTTGTCTCCCCTTGCCCTTCTTTTACCCCGCAAGGCAGAAGGAAGCTACTGTAGGAACAGGAAGAGGTGCTGTGTTTCCAGGTGGGCCCCTGGGGAGCAATGGAATGGGAACACAAAGGCACCGAACCCTGGTGACCTGGGAATGTGAGATGGGGCTGAGGAGCTTTTCCTCTTGCTCCTGCTATGGGGGTGGTCCTGGCTGGGTGTTTCAGCCTCTCAGATTGCCTTAGGTTTGGCCAGTTGCATGAGTTCCACTTGAGCCTGAATAAAGCAATATCACATTACTTCTGTTAGTAATATAAATACTCCATTATCAACGTACTCTAATACAGTCCTAACCTGCCTGATGACATCCATTAAGAGTACCTCCCAAGTACTTTGGGAGCTCCAACTATAAATCCCATTCCATTTTCTGCCACAAAAAAGACCTACACTGGAAACTGAGGAGTTTTTCTCAGAGTAATTGAATTCACTGGAGGAAGGTCAGAACTTTTTTGCTAGTGTAATACTCATTCTGTAGTTTTTCTTTTGTAGCCTTCAGTAATTGGGGTAACCATGAAAGTTTTGAGATGCTGGTTATTTTTTTAATTCAACTTCTCATGTTAAAATAAATCTGCAAAATTCTAGGAATGTGTGTAGGACTCTTTTTCTGAAGCAAAGTTTATCATGCTGGTCTATATTCAACCAACCCAGCAGGCAGTGGGATCACAGTGGAAAAAAGGCATGGCACACTGTCCTCAGCACGTATATGTGCACAGAGATACTGGACAGGGAGTCTGAAATGTCCTGTCAGTGGTCTGACTTGGTAGTTTTTCTCTAGCTGAGAATTTCTTCAGTAGTACAGATGCTGGGCCCTGCTTGCCATTAATCCACAGTTGCCCCTGGGGCAACGCTGTAAAACATTGCAGGACTTGGGGCAAGTCCCATTGTTTTATTCACTCAGTTTCTATGTTTTGGTCATTGCCATGATGCAGATGGGTTTACTTTGAGGTCAGTGATCTGCAGCCTCCAGTCTTGCATCTAGTTTGTCATGTGTATTGTCTGTGTCCGAGTGTTTAATTAATAATTGTCCAGTTGACTGAGAAGCACCAAAGAGGAGGCAAAAAAGGCAGTGATTTTCTTTGTCTTCTCTACCACTAGAAATAATTTGCTGTCTATCTGTATGATTTTTGATAAGCTGAAAGTTTAAAAAAACACAGTTTCACAGTGGGATTAGTCATTTCCCATTTGAACTTCAGCCTTGTTGGGTGTGTGAAATGAAGAATTACATTTTATCCTAAAGACAGGTGTATCACTTGCACTTCACTAGGATAATTTTAGCCTCATTTACTAACAGATACTTGTCTCAACTGTACCTTGTGGCAGAGAGAGAACAGGCTGTACTCTACAAGCTGACCTTTTGAAAAGGTATAGCAAATACTCATCTGAGAGAGGAGTGGTTGCTGTTTTAGGGATAGTCTCAGAAAGATGAGGTTCCTGCCCTCCTGTCCCAGACTTGTTGCTTGGTGTGAGTTGGCTGAAATTCACTGTTAGCTTTCCTTCACTTTATTTAACTTCCCAGTTCTCTCCCTATGACAATGAGCAACAGGTACCAGAAAGAAAACGCTTTTTCTTTTTGGCCTAGATAAGTTGAACTGGAACAAGGATGCAGGAGAAAAAGAAGTCTAAAGCCTCCCTGAAAGAGATGTTTTCTGTAATACTTTGCAGCTGCACAGGAGCCGAACATGGCAGCTGCTCTGCATCTGCCTCATGGCAGGTGGGGAAGACACCTCTACAGATAAGGGATCAGTGCAAAGTCTTATTGCAGTCAACTAACTGTTCTCTCATGACTGTGGAACTGACTGTGTTTATGTCAGTGCAATCAGGATACCCCTCAGAGCAGTGTTGTTGCTTTGACTGAAGCAGAAAAAGTCCGGAATGTTTTCCTGAGAACTTTTCTTCTACCTGTAGCAGGAAGGAGGAATGTTTTCTCGTTTCGGCATCTGCAGTACACAATACTAGATATTAGGCTGAAAGAGCCCCCACAGAAGTTTGGCTTCTGCTTGAGAAGTGCTTTTATCTGGAATGACTTTTAATACCTTACACGGAGTTAGTGGTTATTTAGCTGAACTGGTCTCTCCGAAACCTTACAGCTGATCATGCTGTTCAAACACAGCTGCGATGGCCAGAGGGCCCTTCACTTCCAAACCAGCATTTGTGTTTGCTTGAATTTTTTTTTTTTTTTTTTTTAATTTAATTGCTGCACCTATTAAAAAGGCATCATTTCAGGGCAGCAAAAAAAGATTTTGCTTTTACTGAATGAACCTGAAGTTAGGCATTAAGGGACGAGACTTACAGCTGAGCTGTTTCAGTCTCCCTCTGTAAGGAGAAAATTGCAGATTAAATGGTGTGTCTGATCTAATGCAACCGCTGTATTCCTCTTGCTGGTCCTCAGCTGGACTTTTGACTGAATTCTGCAGCAACCAAACATGCACCTGTCTCTTACATATATACACGTGTGGACATGCATGCTCATTTGTGCATGCTTTCTCTCTATCTCTCTTAATAGTAACTTTAAAAAGTGAACAGGTTTATTGGAAGGATTCTTTTTAGCCCTGTTACAGTGTTTTAATCAAGCAGGAATTTAGAGATGAGACCATGTCTTTTGATTCCTTGACAAATTCTAAGCTATGTTCAGTTGAATCCCTTTTGTAATGGTTTTCTTTATTTATTTTGTTTTAATTAATTTTTGTCTGCTTTAAATCTAAGTTTCGTGTCTTTACAGGCCTATTTTCGGACAGTAGAACTTGTTCAGGAACCTATTCCTGGCTCACCAGGTCTGAGTTTCTACTTCAGAATCAATGGCCGACCCATTTTCATTAAGGGCTCGAACTGGATTCCAGCAGATTCTTTCCAGGACAGAGTGACCTATGACACGTAAGCCACATTTGATGTTCTCTAAAGAGAAAGGATCATGTTTCCCTCCTCCTGATTCTCTATCCACCCTCCATCAAAGGGTGACACTAGCATGGGGAGCTCCTCTCAAGGTCGGACACTAATTGTTGTGGGTTGGAGGCCTCGGAATTAGGGCTTAATTATCATTAATAGATTTGAGTGATGTTCAAGGCATGTAAGTACAATAACTGATGGGAATGTGGTTGGTTGCTGTCCACAGGTTACTGGCCTTTTGGGTATTTTTAGGGATGACCCTCAGGCTGTCTGATCCTATTGCCTAGGACACGTTCATTGGTACTCAGAGGAAGTGCCCTTCAGCCATGTCCTAATCTGTCTTGTGCAGGGACACATAAGTGCATAGTAGCCTCTCTCCCGTTTTCCCCCTCTGGTCCAGGCTTCATGGATTTCAATATCACAGCACCCCAGAGATGCAGATGGGATGGGGGCCATGCTGTACTTTGTCTAAGCTTTGCTCTGGGTAGTTGGGGAACCAGGTCAACGGGGCGTGCTGCAGTGTGCATTCACATTCAATTCTGAGGCTGCCAGCATGATTAAGGAAAAATTAATGGAGTCTGAATCCCTTAAAATGAGATTCAGAGTCTCAGTCTTCCTCCTCCCTCTGTCACTCCCCCCCTTCTTGCTATGCATTGTGGAACTCAGGAGGAGAATATGGATTTCCAAACGTGTTTAAAAGAGGATTTGAATTCAAGTGATTGATAGTTAAAGCAAGTAATATCTAAGGAGAAAAAAACAACCCAATTAATAAAATACAGTATTTCTAAATCTGGTCCTGCCAGTACTTCTGTAAAAGCACTTACTTGCCTGTGTCACTCCATCTATTTCGTAAGTGTTAACAGGACCAAGTACTTTTTCTGCACTAAAAATTGCTTTTTGAGATCTCTGTCCAGACATGCAGGCTTAGAAGTTATCAAAATAGTCTGGTTTGTATCAGTTATAAGACTTAGACTGCCTGCTAGTGATGTTTGGGTGGTTTTGGGTTTGTTTGTTTTTTTTTTTTCGTGTATAACCTTAGAAACTCCTAAGTGATACAAATTTCACAAAACTTGTATAGATTTTGTTTTTGTATTTGACAGATTATGGCTACTCTTGAAGTCTGCAGCAGATGTTAACATGAATGCACTTCGTGTTTGGGGAGGAGGAGTATATGAACAAGATGAATTTTACGATATCTGTGATGAAATAGGAATAATGGTAAAAACAATAAACACAGAACACATTTAAAAACTGGCAAGAACCTGTAAATAAAAATCCACTCTAACTGAACAGCATAAGAGAATTAATACAGAAGTTCTAGCCATCTTGCCAAAGGACTTTGTAGAGTACCAACCTGAGAAGTCAGATCAACCTGATTTTTTTTTTTCTTTTAATTTTAATTTGGATGGTTCCTGATTAATGGAGGCTGGCTGTTGAAACTGGGAGTGATATTTTGGAGACTTTTTATTAGAAACCCAGCTTGTATTTTCTGTTGTAACTAGGGCTACAACTCTGTTCCTCAGGCATCCCAAATTTCCTTCCTAGACCAGAATCTCCCCTTCATCCTTCCTTCCTTTTCTCCCCACTGTCTTTCCCCTCCCCTCCACCTTCCCACCTGCCCCACCCTTATGTTTCCCTAAATCAGAACAACAGGACTGTGGCTATAACTTTCTGTCCTTTAGCTTTCTAGCTCTTTTCAGACAAAAACTTTTATATTTATATCCTCTCTTTTATATTTATGTACCTCTCTCCCAGTTCTACATTTCCTACTCTCTTGGGAAAGAATGAGAGAAGAAATGAACGGCTAAGGAACTGGTACTAGTGATGTCATTTAATGCAGGAAGATGATGTTCATGCTGTAACGATGAGCACGGTAGAAGAACTTTTGTGGACTGTAGTCATCAGCAGGGACTTGCAACACTCAGACAAATAGTTGTGAAACAAGTAGTGCATGGAAGGCGGATTATTCACAAGATTGAATAATATTTTTTCCACAGCAGCCAGACTATGGGGCCCTGTAGCTGTTTTTAGGAATTACTTATGTGAGAATAGCCCTGCTGAAGAATCTGAGTACTTGAGTATATGCCCCAGATTGAGAGCAAAGGCCTTGCAATCTGACCTCAATGAGGATTTAAGGCCTGCTGTATTTGCGTCTTGTGCTTTCAGCCACCTCTGAATTGTCAAAACGCCAAAGAATGTAGTTATGCTTTCCTCTGCTGTGGAAATAGATTTTATTTCCTTTAAAAGTATTTTCTCCTTTATAGCAATAGCTGAAAAGGTTTGGGGTTTTTTTCGTTCAAGCTTTTTAAACAAAAATATTTCACTTGGCTTGAAGCCAAGCATCGAAGACCTTATCCAAAGGGCCATTTTGAACAAGCTATAATTGAGTATAACTGTAGCTGTAAGGGGAACACCTGCTGCAAATGCTGATAATTCTAGATGTGTACCTTTGATTATATGAGCTTGGAGGCACATGTTAATAAGTTTTGATGAAATAGTGACTAGATGAGCGAAGGCCAAGTTGCATCTGGTGTTAAAATCCCAAGAAGTGTGTTTGGTCTTACTCTACAGCATAAAAAGCAGGAAAACAGAATTGTTACCTTGCTGCCTTCTGCTGTGTGTGGTTGAAAAAAAATAAAATGTTACATCTATTTTAGTCATCTGAATGAGTGTCCTGATTTTCAGGGCTTCTGAGCACTTACAGTTCTTTCATTTTTGACACTAGGCACCTAAGTAGGCCACTTACATCTGTGGCTATACAGTGCTCAGTGGAAGATTTAGATCTTATTTAGCAGCCAAAATAGCAAGTAGATGCAGAAAATCAGACCCTTATTCTGGAGGGGGTGGAGGGCTTTTGGTTTTGTTTCTTCTGATGGTCTTGCAAAGGCTTAAAATTGTATTGAAGTCAAACTGTGCTTAAGGAAAACCAGTGATAGCTCACTGAGGGAAATAGCGAAAGTTTCTTTCAATAGAGAGTTTTGACTCTACACAGTCACTGAAAGATTCAGAGTGATTCTTCAGGAATAGCTTTGCTTTTTTTGTACAGTGCTAGCTGTGTAACAATTATTAGTGGATCCATTACCTCCCACTGTCCTGTTCCCTATCTTCAGTTTTCTTAGGGAACGTATGCTGAAAAGAGTAATGGAAAAGCATGTTCTTACTGCGAGGAAAATGCAATTGTATGAGGAGCTGGTCTGGCTCTCTCTCTCTTGTTTATGTAGTATGGTGTTCAGAAAAGTGTAGTCTCCTATAGACTCCATTGGGTTAATGTGCTTCTTCAGGAGATCTTTCCATTAACACTGGAAATATAGTACCATGGGTCTCAAAGTTATGGCAGTTTAAAAACAAGAACAGATAAAACAAGAAATCTTAGCCATCTCATTGAGCTTCTTCCTTTCCCCCGTTTTGTAGTTCTTCTCCTTCAAGGTACAAATGGAGTTCATTGCTGAGTTGAAAGGCTTGCTGTTCTCTAGTGGTATCTACTTGATCTTTCTTTGAAGAGAAAGATCGCTGTGTTGTTACAGGATCTAGTTTTTCTGCCCTTCTTACTGGGTAGGAATTGCTCTTTTTAAGATCAGTTTGCGCATTTGGTATGAAAGTATTTTGTTAACAAGTACACTTGAACATCTGTTAAGTGTGCTCGATACCACATAAGAAGAATTAATGTCTCTTTTTAATAAGTAATGGGGATTGGTATTACACCTGCAAAATAGTAAATACAAAATTGTTCTGTTCAGCTGAAGATTGCTGACATTCACATTTGAGCAGTGCATGGGTTCTAATTATTCCATTGAAAATTATTGAACTCCATCTACTGAGCAATATTCCACTCATCAGTGAAGCCTGTCAGGATCTAATTCCTAAAGGTAAATATACTGACGAAAACCACAGTGGAGTATGCACTTACTGAACCCCATGGACGCCGTGGTTCTTTTGGTGATACTTTCCAATAATAACAACTAGAACATTTCAGTTTAACTCTTTTTGAGATAAATAACTTCTGTCTGAACAAAGGATTGTGCATTCCAATCACCATATATTTTTCAAGTATGTAAAATGATTTGCTAACAGGTGTTTGTTTTTTTTTTTTTTTTGTATTTTCTCTCCTTTTCCATGTAGATTTGGCAGGATTTTATGTTTGCATGTGCACTATATCCAACTGACGAAAAATATTTAGAATCCGTAAGAGCAGAAGTTTCTCATCAGGTATTTTGTCTGTGTGTTGAAGCTCTATTTCCCATTATCTATTTTTGATTGACTGACTGTGTAAGTTAGCTTTCCAAAAATGCTTATTTGGAAGTGTTTGTTACTGTACTTTTATGTAGCAGATACAAAATGTAACCCTGCTAAATCCTCTTTAGTTTACGTGCAGGAGTAGTCAGTCAAGGAGAGGTACAGGCCTTCCTCATGTCCAAACTGCCCTCTTTTCAAGGATGTTTAAGAGCATTCACTGAGAGTGAGCTGTAATGGTTGCAACATCCCTTAGCACAGAATTTACCCTTCACACGTGGCTGAGTAGATGAGAGTGGAGGTACACAAGTGCATATGGTAGATATATGTCAGCATATTAAAAGTTTGCCCCTCTAAGTGTATATTACAAAAGCTTGAGCCTGTTGGAAAGCTAAGGGAATAGTGAACAGCACAGATAAAACTAGGTATTGTAGGCTCAGCATACGTAATATGCATGTGGACTTGTAATTCAAGTAGTAATAAAGTGATTTGATGATTTATTTTTTTTTTTTTTAAGAGAAGTAATTTTGCTTGACTTCTGAAATTCTAAGTTGTATTTCAGGTAAGGCGTTTAAAATCCCATCCATCAATTATTTTGTGGAGTGGCAACAATGAAAATGAAGCAGCAATTGCAAGCAACTGGTTCTCCATACCTGATGCTGAAAGAGAAGTCTATATCAAAGACTATGTGATGCTTTATGTGAAGAACATCCGAGAAATAGTTCTTACTGTAAGTGATCTCAAGAAACTAGGGGGATATGGCTTGGCAAAAGGTTTTAATGTTTGCAATTTGAGCAACTTGGGATTTTTTTTAATTTTTATTTTTTTTAATTGGGAAATGAAAAACAGTACAGGGTTGAGGAATTGCGCTTTACAAGTTCTTCTAAACAACTTTCTAAACTCAAGGATTATCCTTAAAGTAAAACAAACCAATATGTTACTTGCATGTTTAATAATTTGTGATATGTAAAGGAAGACCTGTGAAAATGTAGTGGATCTTGCTTCTTTTTTTCCTTCCTATTTTTAATACCTCCACAAATGCCTTCACTTCCAGTGGACAAAAATCAACTTGCCCAATAATTAATTAATCTAGATGATCAGATTTCCTTTATCCTGATTTTGTTGAAGGTTACTGTAAGAAAGATTTAACAACCTTCAGGTCTTTCAATACCAGTTGAAGAAATTAATAAAGATGTGCTCTTCCAGTAAAGCTTTTTGATTTAAGCAAGTTAAACAAAAGTTATACTAAACATTGTCCTCAAACTATGTAGACAATACATTGTGTGTTTTTGAAAAACAGACTACTAGTATTTTACAGTATATGAAGGCAAAATAAAATATTTTGAGATAAGACTTAAACTGCGAGCATGCAGACCAGAAGCACTGGGAATCTGTGGTGGTCTGCTGTGATTTGGCACTACCCATTTTGCACAGCTTTTGTAGTTTTATTTCTCCTCATAGAAATATTGCAGTTCTTCATTATTTAATGGAATCTGCTTTTAACTAACTTTTATATGTGTGTAGAGTGAAATTGATTTAAAAGTCCCAAACTGATGTCTCATATCTGTATAGGGATTAACAAACAGTGCTTGAACTACAGGTGAGTATTCTGAACTCCTGTTAGCTAAGAGACAAAATGTTGCAAGAGTTTTGTTCAGTTAGAACTTCCTTCTTCAAGAAGAGTATGAATTTTTGTTAACCTAAAAATGCTAGTGGCCTTTTCCTACGCAGTTATTCCTTGTATAGTATGATTTTACTGACTTCAGGGTATGATAATTTTACTCTAATCTGTTGTTTTCAGGATGAGATACGTTTCATGTTACGAGGCTCATGACCTGAAGTTTCCCTTTGCTAAGACAGGCACTCAGTATGTAGGTGACAGCAGTATTATTGCTTGTTATTGGAGGCTACTGGCATTGTCAGCGTAGTTATGCTCTGAGAATTTAGAATACCTTTCTACTGGAAAAGTTGAGATATGAGGAAACAATAAAAATGAGGCCAGGTTTGAAAGAACCTGCTGAAAAGGTTCTTGCTCTTGAGGGCAGTTATGCATTCTAAATGGTAATGGTGTCTTATATTCCTGCTTAACATCTTGATTCTAGATTTCTGTATTTCAGTTAGGTTTTCTGGAACTGACAAGGTTTTAGAACCTTGTTTGTAAAAGTATGCTGTGGTGTTCCTGTGATTAGCCACATGAGTTGGATGGCCAGTGCATGTGCAGTGAAGTGGTGTGTTCTGACTTGATACTGTTTTTTAGTTACAGTTCACTTGTGCAACATTGCTATCTAAGGTGGATACTCTTTTATTTTAAACCCATAAAATAACTTTTTGGAGTGCCAGAAGGAACCATACGGTGAAATAATTTCAGGTCCTGTGTAGTACAAGACAACTGAGGAAACCTGTAACTACTAGCAATACTGGATGGTATAACTTAAAAAGACTTCTGAGTTTCAGCTAAATACTTCAGGGAATCCAGGATATCCTGTAGTAAATTGTTTCAGTTAATTATTAATTTCTCATGTCAAAAAAAAAAAATATGGGGGAACAGGACTATTTCTTAAAATGAAGCACATGTCTAAATGCTTTGCTGTATTGGAGCCAATTGCTGTAACTTGTGACTGGTAACTAATTTAGGCCTCTATCTTACTACAAGTAGGATGCTCATTGAATTGTACCTGCAAAAGAGTTCCTTCAGGACTTTGTAGCGTACTGCTAAAATTTTAGTATACTAAGTCTACTGAATCTATAAATAAAGGCAGCTCTGAACAATTTGAAATGTAACCCTTCTTATAGTCTCATCTATTTTAACATGCAGAGCCGGCCAAGATGACAATAACCTGCAGTGCTATCATGCAAGCAATACCTTGGCTTTGTTAGGACTAAATTTAGGTGACTGCTTAATAAGAAAGGGGAAAATCATGGCCTTGTTCCTGCAGAAACACTGCAAAAGTAATGATTTTCCATAAAGAAGTCACAGTACTCAAATATTAATGTTCCTTGACTTTATTTTTCACGAGGCACACTTTAAATAGATTTCATTAAGAATTTAGAAGCATATAAAGATAGAAAATCTCTTGATGTGAGGAGAGAATCCCTTAGAACAGCAGAGCAAGCAATATCATGCCCAGCTGTCCTCCAAGAACATAAATAAGAAGCTAATTAAGCAAGTAAAGATGATGAATGTCAGGACACAAAAGGAAATGCTTTCTTAGCGGTGACTCAGAAATTTGGAAAAGGCATGTTCTGCCCACCCCCCCTTTTCAAAATGTTGTGTATGTATTCTGATGATAAAAGCCAATCACTTTGTGAAGGCATTGTGGTTTTATTTTGTTTTGGTTTTAAATCCCAGGAAGATAAGAGTCGTCCTTTTATTGTATCCAGTCCCACCAATGGCTTGGAGTCAGTTAAAGAGGGTTGGCTCTCCCAGAATCCTTATGATACCCATTATGGTGACACACACTTTTATGACTACAGTGATGACTGCTGGAACTGGACAGTCTATCCTAAAACTCGTTTTGCTTCAGAATATGGATTTCAATCCTGGCCTTCCTTCAGTACAATTGAAAAGGTAAGGCTGGGCTTCCACACCTTACTGTCCTCTTTGCTCCCATTTAGTGAGGGCAATGAATATCTTCCCAACAAACTATAGCATCCGAAAGTTGGGATAATACACTGTTAGGTGTATTATGGCACAAGTGGGATAGAAGTTTGTGCTGGTGTGGAGGGAGGGGATGAAACTGGACTGCTTCCCTCTTCAGTGTTCAATATATTTACCTTGATGTTGCAAGAGGAACCTAGTTTAGATGAGATACTATTATGAGACTATTAATTTTAATAGTAAATCTATTTAATATATAGCTTAGCAATGACTGCCTAACATCTGTTTCCTTTTGCTGAGTATAAGGATATGTGTTCATTTAGAAACAGAAGCAGCATGACAAATTATGACTTGTGCTGAATTCTAAATGTATTGATTTTTATAATTTTTACCAAGTTCATTTACTTAAATAATTTGTTTCTTTATGTATTGCATATAAGAGGATTTGGTTTCATCTCCTGTTTTATTTAGATATTGTATATTCTATCTTATTTATCCAGTTGGAGCAGAGACATATCATGCTGTTTGTCCATTTGTTCAGAGAGAGTTGAATATCGTGTTGATACTCACACGTGCGACTAAAGGGAGTTCAGAATGTTCCTTTCAATTTGCTGTGCAAAGTAGATTATCTGAAATGTAATCAGTACATTCATCCATATTAATAACAATGAAAATTATTCAATCCAGCCTAAAAAGGAACAAACTTAAATAAAAAGATTTTATGGAGATTGTAATTACAGTGAAAGTCTGACAATAATAACTCTGAGCTATGCTGCATTGTAGTCCTTGGTCAAAAAAACCTGTTTCATAGTTGTTTGTTTTCAGAGGCAGGTTTTGAAAATACACGTTATTAGAATTTACAGCCCTGATAATTTCTGTAACATTTATGCCTAAATGTGTTTGTCTGGAGTACCTTTTTCCATCTTAATCGAGAGTCTTTCTGATTTACTATGAATACAAGCCAACCTATGAGGTCACATGGCCAAACTGAACTTTAGGGCAAATAAGTTAAATGTCATTGAGCCAAAAGTTGCTCTTCTGGGTTCAACAGCAGTGTCTGTTTTCATTTATTTGTACAAGGAGTATAAGCAAAGGGTGTTAATGATTCAAAATCCTTGTGTGACTGCATGAGGCACTATGGAAATACACTACCAATTTTAAAGGTTTTGGATGATGCCAGCAGACTGTAGTGGATATCCTTTCCTGAATACCCTCTCAGTCATTAAATGCGCATTTGCCTTTTCATTCTGATCTCTTGGTTTTGTATTTTTTAAAAGGTTTCTTCCACTGAGGACTGGTCCTACACAAGCAATTTTTCTCTCCATCGACAACACCATGAAAATGGCAATGATCAGATGCTTCAACAGGTTGGGCATCATTTCAAGCTTCCCCAGAGCACAGATCCCATAAAGAAGTTCAAAGATATGATTTACCTCACTCAGGTAACAGTGATATCCTTAATATAAGTAGCTGTCAGTACTTGTTCCATTATATACTATCAGTGGTTAAAACTGGGCCTGTTCTGTTTGGTTGCGTTCAGTCATACAGAAAGTTTCTGCACTGAAGCATTGGAGAATCCAGTTTATTTTGATATCAGCTTGTCTCTCATTTATTGGAGAGAAACTCCAATTTCTGTCATAAAAGGGCTGGAATACTTCTCGGGGAATTTCCCCCAAACTGGCTCAGTTGGGAAAAAGTCTGGCTGTGTGTGCTACCTTGGTCAGTGTCCCCAGCTGGGCCCACTCCTGCAGGGACCTGCTGGCCTTCCTTGATTCCTAGTGCTACACTGTTATTCCCTGTCCCAGGGTGGGTGTGTCTGGCTCTTCATGTGGCCCCTGCAGCCTTACTGCTTTGATGTTTGCCACAAGGAATACCTGAGCTTTTGAAACAAGATTGTTCCTAGGGAATGCAGTTTGCTATGAATGAGGTTATTAGTAGCTTTTATTTTGTTATGGACTCAGACATTGATATTTTTAGAGAATCTATTTTGTTTGTTTTTCAAACCAGTAGGTCATATTTTACTCCTCATCAGTAGTAGTTTAGCTCACGCTTGTTTCTTTCTTCATGATTTCTGTGTGACTTTTAAATGATGTTAAGTAACTTTTTGATGCTATTAGGCAAGTTTAAAGTGCTGTTACTTTTTTCTTGTGCTCCAAGAATTTCAGAAACACTCTTGATGGGAATAGCTGCGCATTCACTAAGTTTTTAATGCCTGAGACCTGCTGTCAGCAAGTTTTATATTGAAACAAAAGAGCTGGAGAACTTTAGACACTGATGTCAAGAGAACAAGGATAGATGATGCTGTGAAATTGAAAACAGGGGTAAAACTTGTGCAGTGAGATCCTGACTCAGAAAGTTATGAGAGTTTCTGCAGGGTTAAATCTGTCAGGGCCTTATTAACAAGTTAAACAAGTTAAGAATGCCAAAACAAGCACAGCAAAAAAGGATAAGGAGACTAAACTTGGCTCTAGTGGTTACCGAGAAATGTTATCTTTACCTTTTTCGCTATCCTAAATAATAACTTTTTCCTTTATTTTGAGACTTCCTTTTAATACCTCCCTAGCCTAGTAATATACTTTGTGAAGAAGATAAGAGGTTGTTTGGCTTCTATTGAGAACTTGGCCAATGAAAAATTCTGAGAAGTGTTTTTTAAAGACAAGGTGGGGAAGGAGAAAAGTAGTGGGAGTGCAGGTGAAAAAGGTTACTCTTTCAATGCACAGTTTTGATTGTATACTGGGAAAGTAGACATCATGGTAATGTATGCTGGAGGTAGTGCAGCATAATGTCATTTTGCAACTCTTGGGTTTTTTATTTACATTAATTTAAAAAAACCTCCCAACTATTTATTTTAAATTTCTTTACCTTGTCTTCCATTTGTCTTTCAAAGACTCTGTTGTCCAGTGATCTTCACTGGATGGAAGGCAAGAAGTAGACCCTCCAGAGTTTCTCTAAAGGCACTGCTTGTAAAGCTGTTGCGAGCTTTTAGGAATACATCTCCTTCAAGCAGAGGCCCACTGCACTGCAGGTGTATACTCTTGAAGGCTCAAGTTTAAAGTTATGTGCTGTTGCTGTGAAGTTTGTGTTGTATGTTAATATAGACACATACGCTTTGAAAGTAAAATACAAAATACAACGCACCAAAAATATTTAATTTTTTTTATGTGTTGGTTGACCTAGGTGATGCAGGCTCAGTGTATAAAGACAGAAACTGAATTCTATCGTTTTAGTCAAAGTGAAATAATCAAGGGAGAAGGACACACAATGGGAGCTCTGTACTGGCAACTCAATGACATTTGGCAAGCACCTTCATGGGCTTCCTTGGGTAAGTTTTGTGACAGTCTGGTAAAAATCACCAGCTATCAGTCTGTTTTGTTTTTCTCATCTGGAAGAATCAGAATAAGAAATATGGCTCTTCTCTCTTGGGCAACTTTGCAAACTTTGAGCATGTTTCCTTTAGAAGTGCTTTCCAGAAAAGTGTTTTTCAGTATCATCCTAATAGTCCGTGAAAGTGGAATAGGGTAAAGATCCAAGCAATTATTTACCTATGGCAGTTTTGCTGCTTAAGTTCAGATTTAGCAGCTACGAACACTTGTTTTAGCAAGATTTAGTTTAGAGAAGTTAAAATCATATGTAACTCCTAATTTCTTAAAAACGCATTTTTTTCATTTAAGCAGTATTCTCATTTGTCCCAAGGAAATAATACCATTGAAACCAGACAAAGCTGCCTATTAGGAAGCAGTGATGGTTAAGATTGAGGGCACAACCCCCTTGTGAGGTAAACTTTCAACAACCCTTGCTTATCTTATGTAGAGCAGGATCTTCCTGAAACTGTGTGTAATATATCATCCAGGTGTTTCCAGAGAAATTCTACATTTTTTGCAAGTTTAATTCTTTTAAAATTAGAAAGAGCAATTCTTTTAAAATTAGAGACTTAGAAGTAATCCTTTTCCAAAAGGGTGTGTCCTAGAAATCCCCGATTATATCTACTGGCTCAGCTGTACAGATGCATGTGTGGACCCAGCCACCCTGGGTGAGAATGGACAGAGAGGAAGCTAGTGGATAGGAGGGTAAAATGAAGCACCCCTGTATAATTATGCTTTCCATCATCCCAACAAATTTCACTGATTTTGTTCCCCCTGCCCCCCTCACAGTAAAATGATCAAAACCTCACCCTTTAGTAGGCAGTAGTGCACTCTCAAAAAAACTAGAACTGTAATCCTGTTGTGAGCGGGATGGGATTTAGTATGTAAAGGCTAGGCATCTAGATTTCTTCTGCACTCAGCTGGGGGAGAGATGGTTATCTCCAGAGTGTGATTCGTTGTGTCCTTAGCTGTCTAATAAGTGGAGTGAATTATCTTCTCCATGCTGAATTTGATTTTCATAGAATCTCATGTGACACCTCTCACGCAGCATAGCTTCTGAGAAGCTCGTTACAGGAGAAGATGACTAGCTGAGATTTGGTGTCTGACAGTGTCAGGTGAGGTGAATCACTCTTTGTGACTAAATTATTCTGCTAATATGCTAGTTATGCATATGATATCTCCTTATGTATTATATATATATTATTTTTTCCTTTTAGAACACAGAAATGGAGTAGTCAGACATATAAAGAGATAAGTCACTTAGGCAGTAAGAAATAGGGAAGGAATGTGTGGTATGAGGGAAGTGGCTGTGTTTGATGTTCCAAACATTTTGTCTAGAAGTCATTTTGAAATGAAGAAACTGCTCTATGGCAGGTATAGTACTTAGGCAGATTTTCTTTCGATTTTATTTATGTCTCTTATATTCTGTTTTTGCAAATCTTTATGTGAAGAAATAGGAGTGAACTAGAAAAATCTAAGAGTTAGTGTGAAGTTCTCAATCAGTTCTTAGAACAAAATGCTATTTGGCCTTGCTTTTAAAAAAATTAGCCCACCCCATCCTTGCCCTCTTTCTCTGGAAGATGTTTGTCCTTCTCATTTTTTCTTTTTGTTCTTTTTTTTCTTTTTTTTTTTTTTTTTCTTTATTCAGACAAGCAAAGTAACTCCAACCAGCAAAGGAAAACAAGCCAGTAGAAGAAACAGGCTATTTTTTTTTTTTTTTAGATGTTAAGGCAGCTATCTAACCATAATGTTAATCTTTCTGGAATTTTTAGATTGTATTACTAAATGGAATATCCCAATGTTCATTTTGATGATTCTAGCAATGGCTGATGCTCTTACACTTTAAGCGCCTCGAGAAAAAAATGCTTGGAAAAATGTCTGTTTGTAAAGACAAGTGTATTGATAGATGAAGTGATCGTGAAGACCATAAATGTCTTTTTAAGTACAGAGCTGACATCATTGTAGAAAATACAACAAATACTTGAATTATTCATATGTTGTTGAAATTAGTTTACAGAAAAGAACCTCAGCAGAGATGCAGCTGTCCCTTTGTTTTGTTCTATTCCCTCAGTGGAATGAGGAAAGGTTTAATATTCATTTAATTAGGCAGTGTGGTAGAGGGATTTTTGAAATGCTAATGTCTGAAATTATGAAAAACTTCAGAGAAATTAGTTTTATTTGAACTTCAAAAGCGAGTTCCTGCATCTTGTTAGATGGTATGGTAGTATCACCAATGAGTGCTTGCTTAAATCTGTTATTTCAGAGAGCCATGAAGGGGCTTACATAATTGCCTTTACAAAGTGGAAGTGTTTCCTCATGAAGTGGGGAGGATAAAAGGTGGCAGAGGTTTCTCCTTTTAACTTGCCTGTAAAATGTCTGCTTGGGATTGAAGGAAAACACAGCACAGCACTGCTCTCATAGTACTCCTGCCTTTAGTTTGGAACCAAACAGCTTTTGCCACAACTGGGTTTTGGTTGTTGGTGCCTAGGTGTGGGGCACATTGTGCCATGTTTGAATGCTTTGGCATCTATGCACTGTGTTTCGGTGAAGAGCAACGGGATACACACGGCAATTTACCTCGCTCCCACATAAATGTCACCTTGAGGTACTCAACTTGGTTGTCATGAGATTCCCTTGCATAGATAACTGGCTTTTATTGCAGGTTCAATATTTAGAGCCCCTGGTGAGCTGAAACCACATACTATTACAGAGAATAATAGATCTGAATTCATGAGACTGACGTGAGGAAAGAGCTAGCAGCATGTTTCTCAGGTTGCATTTAATGGTGTGAAGTGATTAATTTAAAATCCATTCCAGGGAGAACTATTTGTTCTCATTCTTGCTATCAGTGTAGAAGGCTTCAAGGAAGAGTCAGGAAAAAAGGGTACTGGGGTCTCATTACAAACCTGATTTTAGTTTCCTGCTCTGAAGTTTGATACCGCAGAGAGTACAGATCCCATGTTATTATCAGGAAAAAATTGGGGAACTTGGATTTCTCTAAGAATTCATTTAAATGTGGGGGGAGGAGGAGAAAACCACCCCAGGGCTGTTTTAAATAACTTTTTGCTGATGCCTTTGGACATGCATGTCTGTGACAGGAAAGTTTAAGCCCTGAGATTTATCACAACACGTACCTTATCTTCAGATTTCTTGCATCCATTTTTGGGGCAGGGTGAGTATTTTATATGCAACTTGCCTATTTTTAAATCAAGAAATGTGACTGGTCTTAAGGAAATCAAGACGGCAGATGATCTGAAGAATGCGGCTTTTTTTTTATCAGTGAGCTTCAGTTTTCTGTGCTGTCTGAAGTTACTTTGACAATTGTATTATCAAGATCCTGTTGACAGAGAAGTTATCTTTGGAAGACCCTTCTTGTGTGAAACTGCTCCAGAAGTTGAGCTGTGGTTCTTCAAAATGGCTCTAGGTTTTTTGGGAAGGGAAATATCAACTTTAAAAAGTTGATCCGAGGTAAGCAGACTAGTGATGTTTTCAAACATCCCAAAACAATAGCTGTAGCAGTAGAATGAGTTTTGAAATGGTATGCAAACTTGTAAGTGTGTGGTGTGTTTGCTTTTATTGCTTGGGTGGGTGGGTTGGTTGGTTGGTTGGTTTGTTTGTTTTCCCTGTGGAAGTGTAATGCCAAGTTTAGTCTGAGTTGTTTTCTGCACCGTACAGGTTCCTTGAGGATCTCTTTATCTGCTGCCTAGGTAGCAAACCTTCTCTCTTTCCCTCCAGTAACCACTGCAGTGTGGTTATGTAATCCAGTTGGAAATTAAGGCACAGCAGAAATTGAGGGTAGGGCCCATTTGAAGAGAAATGGGATTTTATATTACACTAAGTAACAGAAACTTCTCTACTTCAATTGCATTATTCATTTTCATATTTAAGATAGTTGAAGCGTAGATTTTCATCATGTAAATTAAGCTGACGGAAAAAAATTCAAGTCAGCAGGCACTGAAACCTCAGCCCATGCTGGATAACTTGTCTGAGCTCGTGGTGGCCTCTGAGGCCTGCAGTGAGCAGTACCTATTGTACTGACAACTGAAATTCCTGAGAGTCTGTGTGGCAGTCCGGAGGGCTTCAGAGAGTTCAGCTCCTCCCAAAGCCTGAGGTTAGGCGCAGTGCCGATTTCTCATACAATGTCCATTGCTTTTATTTTTTAGATCAGATGCTTCCCCACAGTTTACTCTGTTTCAGATAATCCATCCCCAATCCAAACCCCTCATCATCTCAAGTTTCATGGCCCTGAAAAGTAACTTGTTAGCACTCCCTGTTTTTGGCAGAATTGCCTTTAGACCACCAACATTTTCTGCCAAGAATTGCCTTTCGAATGCAAGAACATGGCTTCATTCCTATACTGAACAGCACCAATATGATGAGTATGTTCATCATTTTATCAACAGTTTGTTTTGAAGAAACTCAGCAGCCTCTCCTGAAGTTTTCTTTCAGACTTCATCTCTTCAGTTTGCTTCAGTGCTACTAACTTGGATGCTGGTGGTGTTTTATTGGCAAGTCTGATCTCATAGCACAGTTGAATCTTGTATGGGTTTTGCAGGCAGATACGAGGTTTTCTTGTTTGTTCTCCAAGCTATCTGTTGTGAGCTTGCTGAAAATAAGGTGATCTGCAAGGTGTTAAGATGGAGCTAATGCACTTTGCTCTCTACAAAGTTCATTCATGTCTATGTAGAGGCCAGGCAGAGCATGTTCAGGTCTGCCTGTGAAAGCCACAAACACACCCTTTAAACACTACATCCCTCTGGATGAAGTCCTTAATTATGAAATATTTGAAAGTGCTAAGAGTTTTGTACAGACACCAAAACACAGAGGTAATTAGTTGCAACAAAAATGTATTACTGGAAATATTTTTCAGCATCCCTGAACTTCAAACATGTTGTATAAAACAAAGAGCCAGAAACAAGGGTAAAACTGGTATCTAACTTTTCTTTCCTTATGAGATGATGCAGCTGACTTGCTACTTCTTTTTAGTGCCATTTCATTGACTTGAAAATGGTTGAGCAAAGGGAGAGTTAAAGTGCTGACAGTGGGTGCTAGATGTAAAACTAACAGAGAAAGAAATGCATGCAACTTCTCTTTCAGAATGGTTGTGTGGCAATGTTGCATCTGGCAAAATTGCATGTTTTGGAGAGAACACAATGTTTGATGGCTTTTCCAGTTTGCTAAGGGCAGACTATCAGACTATTAGAAGTAATGACCTATAGGTTTCCATCAAATAGCCAAAGCTGAACTGTTTGGCAGATGTCTACATCATGTGTCTACTAAATCTCATACAGTAAGTGTTGTCTTTAGATCTTGGGAAATTAACTTTGCCTAACTCAGAGGTGTCTTTGGTTTGAGAACTGGCTTTTTTGTCTTCATTGCTATTGGTGTTCCTCTAAGGAAGAACTGGAAGAGGAGAACTGAAAAAAGGGAAAGAGCACACTTTTTGTATAAGCACCAAAAGTCAGACTCTGTTGTCTCTTTATCGTGGTGGTAGTTTGTGGCAGTGCCACCAATAGCCATGTGTTTGCCTGGGTTCTTAACAACCATAGATGCTCCAGCTGCTTGCTGAGTATGTAGTACCCTGTGTCAGTTTTGTTAGTGTCACTTGTGTTTAAGCATAGGAAGGATGGGACCAATACTTAAAAAAATGTGACCTTTTGGTGAAGCTCAAAAAAAAACTTGAAAGAGCATCAGATCCTTTCCAGAGCAGAGCCTTGGCTGTATGAAAACAAGAGTAACTTCAGTCATTCTCTGCACCTGGTAGAGGTGAAAAAGGGTGGAGGGGGATATTATATTGCCACAGCAGGACCGGAGAGCACAGGAAGGGATTGCGTGCCAAGGCAATCTTGGATTCAGTCTGAATCTTTCTCCCTTTTAACCCTTTTCAGAGTATGGTGTGAAGTGGAAACTGCTCCATTATTTTGCCCAGAACTTCTTTGCACCACTGCTGCCTGTGGCCTATGAAGACAATGACGTGTTGTACATTTACGGTGTCTCAGATCTTCATGAGGACCACGAGCTGACTTTGAGGGTAAGTGACACCTCTTTCACCACCTTTGTGTCCCTCTGGCAAAAATGTGAGAAGCTGAATGAGCACATCTTTATATAGACAAGCTTCAGTAAATCCATGCTAAAACACTGCGAGGTGCAATTCTTATCTTTAATCTTTGTAGGAGCAACACTATATTTTAGTAGTGTGTACAGCTTCACCGAACAAGGAATTAATTTCCTTGCTTACAGCCTGTAGGTATAGGCCTGCAATTAAGTAATCTGATGAAATCTTAATGGGGTTGATGGTTAAATAGAACAAAGTGTGAAAAATGGTACCTCGCTACTTAACAAAACTGCTCCCTGGGTGTTAGAACTAGATTGACTAAGTGGGGGGGAAAAAAAGGATTGTACCATTGCTTGCCAGTACTCAACTACACTGCTTGGGGAAAAAGAACTAGATTATTTTCTGAAATATCAACATAGCATCTAGGAGTACTATAATTACAAGCTCACCTATGTAATGTCACCATTTTACAATTGATGCCTTACCTGTTTTCTGATAACGCCGTAGAAACTGTTAGGGTTTCTTAGGCAGTACTTGGGCTGCTGAGTTGTCCTGTAGAACAGTCTTGCTTTTCAATTTGTTACATTTTGTTGCTGTCAATCATACAGCAACCAGATCTGAAATGAATTTAGGGGCCATTTTGCACTAGGAGATATAATTCCTTACATAAAGGGTGTCCTATGTGAAAAGGTTGGGAAGGATGGAAAAATAGACCTAGAGACCTGGAATGACTCACTAGTCATTTTGGAACTAGTAGCATGAGTACGTCAATTCCTAGTTCACTGCTCTGTCTGGTGGACTGTGTGAATTTTCAGATTTATGAAGGTACTTATATACGGTAATAGATAGTATAGAAAATGGTTGCAATTTCTGGATAGTCAGTTCTTAGAGTAAGACTGCACTTAATGAAATAGTTTATTTCTGGTCTGAGTTATTTTAATGGGCTTAAATTCAGATTTTCTGATGTCAGAGAAGCATTTGCAGTAGGGTGTTTCTGATTAATACTGTATTTTGCACTTCCAAGAAAATTTGCAACTTAAAACTTTTGAAAAGAGTTAAGATACGCTCCTGAATGCAGACCCCTGTTAAGATCAAAAATAACATATTGTATGAAGAGACAGAATGATAGAATTCTTGTTAAGTACCTATCTTCCAAATTATGCTTTGGTGGTTTTTTTTTTTTTAACATAAGGGTACATTCATAATCCATGTGTGAACTCAGGAAATATATATTTTATTGTATTAATATAACTTCCATAATCCTTTTTAAGATAACGCAGCTTGCTTCTTTTTAATGGTGATTGTGCAGAAGCTCTAGATCACCCAGTTGGGTTACATCAGGTAACAGTGAGAAATATCAGGAAAATCCTTTGTTTGACTTTTTTTAAATGGGGAGGGGAGGAAAAAAAGTCAACAAATTAGTCACTTAGTAATTCCATTTCCCAGCACTCCCTTGGTGGGAATTGGTGACCCGTTCCTCTCAAGGAGCCTGGAGAAAACAGAAAGCCTTGCAGATCAAGAACAACAACTGATCCAGACTGTTTGAAACTGACTTCTTGTGAGGTTTATATAACCTAATTATTATGCAGTGTCAATCCTTTAAATATTTGTGGAGTTTCTTGCTAGCTAGGAATCAGCTGGTACTGTCAGGAGAACATGTCTACCAATAAGCAACCCAAAACCAAAGATGCTGGGTTGTTTTCCCAAATGTAAGGTTTTTTCTAAGGTTTGTGCTAATGTAACTTTTCTTCTGAGCTTTGTGTTCTCTCAATATGCCTGATAGGTCATTGTGCACGCCTGGAGTTCTTTGGAGCCGGTATGCACACTTGCCAAAGAAGGTGTGACTGTTAAAGCACAAAGTGCTGTCCCCATCTACAAGGAGTCCATAAATGACTTGCTGGAAAGATGCAGAAATTGTACCAGAGCAAGCTGCGTTATTACTTTCTGTCTTGTGGGAAAAGGTGGGCTCCAGAGTCCTACGAACCATCACTTCCTTTCATCACTGAAGGATGCTGTAGGATTAGAAAAGACCCAGTTTAGTGTAAGCATCAGTCCTGCTAAATTACTGTATTTGGGTTTGCTAATCTTACTGGTTTGAGTTGTTTGCCTGCTATGCAGTGTCTGATTCCACGTAATGTTCTTTCTCCTTTGGTGTAGCAATTCTAGCTTCCACATTGAGTTCAAAATCAGACTTTTTTTTTTTCTGTGTCACTATATGCATATCTAAATACCACTGGTGGTGGGGGTGGTTGGTTGGTTGGTTGTTTTTTGTTTTGTTTTAAATAATGAAGTCTCCATTTCATTTGTTTTGGTTGTCTTTCACCTGACTGCTGCAGCATTGCTCCTTCCATTCTTTTTGTTCCTGGATAGCAAATAGCATCATGGCAAGTGTTTTGGCTTGCAGACAGTCCTGTATGTCAGTACTAGGTGATGCTAGTTCAGCTGAGTGTGGAGTGCATTACTGTCAGCAGTATTTCCTCTTCAAGTGCTCAAACACTCAGATCAGTGTATCATTGCTAACATGCAATAATGCATGCTCCTTTCTTCCTTCTGCAAATCCTTGCTCTCCAGCTAAGGGTTCTGATTTGCATAATAGTGATTATTTCTTAATATCTGGCAAGTGTTTCAGTCTTCTGCATGGGCACAAAAAGCATCAGTGTTGTATAACACTGTCATTTAGTCCATTTGCTGCTTTTCCCTAGATTTCTTCTGCTCCTAGCAAGTGTGCTCTATATATGAGAGCAATCATGGTCTCCATGTGTGTGTACATACACATTTTGTTAAGCCTCACTTCTTAGCATGTAAATCTTATTGAAAAATTCTTAATCAGCAGATTGGCAGGATGGGGACCTGTGTGTTCTCACATTTGGCTTCCAAACTGCAGCTTTGCTCTTCAGAGCTAAACTAAACAAGGGGGGAATAGAGGTCTTTAATCTCTTTGAATCTGGACCAGCATAATTGCTTTACAAAAAGAAAATGGGCCAGATTTGCCCCTCTTATCTTTTTCGTGGCAGCATGGTCTGCCTCCTGAGCATATAAAGGAAAGAAATCAGCCTGTTTTTATTTTTTTCAGCTGGTGGCACAATCTGGAGTCTGAGTCATGCTGTTTTTTTTTTTTTTTTTTTGTGGATGACATCATCAGTAATAAAAGCTCTGCAACTGGAGCATTGTTGGGAAATTTCACTCCTTTTTCCCATGGCTGTGTTGTCTCCACAGTACTAACTAATAAGAATAGCTAGCAAGCGTAAATGCAGAGTGGTTATTTTAAGAAAGTTTGCAGCTGTGATTTAAAAAATTATTCTGTTTTGTGAGAAGCTGGTGCTTCTGTACATAGTTACTAATAAACTAACTAGACTTTCAAGTTCATTGCTAATCCAAGTGCTGCTCTTCATAGCATTGCTTTTAAAAAACATGAAGACTTTAGTGTTTCTTCAGAAAACATAAAATGTAAAGGATTTTTGCTTTTTCTTAAAAAGGAATACTGTTGTCTGTCTTGTAAGTGGGGATATGTTTTCTACACTTAAGATAATTTGTGTACTTTTTATATACAGTCAATTGGTATTTGAAAATGATGTAGCATATTTTGTGATGATAAATGGGGAGTGCTGCATGAAAACACATCCTGGATGTGCTTTTAAGCCTCTCTGAGATAAACTACTGATGGAATTTAATATAAAACATTATACCTTGTCCCGATACTTCACAACATAGCTGCCTTCTAAATGTGTAAGGACTTCACTGCTGTGTTCCATTAAGATGGGGTGACCTCCTGGGTTACTGTGACTTTTACCATCTTTTGCTTCTGTGTATTTTCTACTACCGATGTAATCAGGAAGGCCAGCAACGTTAGTAGTTGTGAATTTATAGGTTGAGTGAAGTATGTTGGTGAAAGGACAAATCTCTTTCACTGTGGTAAGTATAGGATACCAGTACTAGGTACGAGTCAGATTACCATTTATTCGGTTATTTTCATAAGAAGGTGGTAGAGCGGTAACACTTCATGGCATTTTTCCACAATCTGTAGAATTCTATAAGAACACTATAATAATGTGTGGAGTTTTTGCATGATTCTTACAAATAAATCCTCTTGGTTTGACCTTTTGTTCCAGAAGAGATTTCCAGAAGAGAATAGTAATTTTGATCAAATGTGGGTGGTTGGTCTGTTTTACTGACATGCAGGTCTTTCCCAGTTTGGGTGTAACTGGGTTCTTCTTTAACAGGTATGTTTCCTTTTACTTACTTATTTATGTATTTATTTCTCTTCCAGGCCTCCATATCCCAGCAAGATGACACTTACATATTTGTTCTTCAGACCACTGCAATTGCTCCTTTTGTTTCTCTGGATGTAGGGAGTATAAAAGGCAGATTTAGTGATAATGGTTTCCTCATGACCGAAAAGAAGAAAGTGCTTGTGTTTTATCCTTGGGAGCCTACCAGTGTTGAAGAACTAGAAAAGTCACTAACCTTGACCTCTCTGATGGATGTTGTCTGAGAATACTTCGTTTCCTTCTAGATAAGGAGTGAAACAGGAGGAGGAAAGAAATTAGAAGAATTTGACTAAAGTTGAAGTGATATACAATTTGAGCTGCCTGCAGAACATGCTGTCTATTCCTGTCATTTGTGAATTTTAACTGCTGGTTCAATATAAAGATACCAACAGCAAAGCTTGCATATAATATATGTGGTGTATTGAAAGTAAGGCTTTCTCAGGTAATGGGAAAAATATGTCCCATGTATAAGATGGGAGGGGTGAGTGAGTGCAGGAGAGCTAGTCCAAGTTCTCCGATTTGCGTGAGATTGGAATTGTGAATTCATCCTGAGAGGCAACACAAATATGCACCTCTAGCCTATGGTTGTAAAAATCCATATTTTTTCCATTTTCACTATGCCGTAAGTGGAAATTCATCTTAGGAGAACAGAAAGGTATGCTGGGGGCATGGGGAGAGGGCAGGGGGTGAGGCTGGGACCTGAAAGCCTGAGGGTTTGGCTGTCGGGAAATCCAGGCCACTGGGCCGTGCTGTGGGCAGGTTGCTAAACATTGGGCTTGTCTGTCAGATGTGGTTTGAAATGCAGCTGGGGTCTTGCTGGGGTTCCACAAGGATCCTCTGACAGTCCAAGTGAGTATTAATTTTCTTGCAAAGCACCTATCAGAGTCAGCACTTTACAGTAGGAGGTGTTTGAACAGGCTCTACTGGTGATGTCCATCTTCGTCATGAAAGCACCGTGTGGGTGGTGCTTGCTGGGGGTCTGGAGCACGTGTGGGGAGAGCGGCTGTGTGTTCCCTTGGTGAGGTAGAGAACTTGGACCTGGGGGTTGCTTTCTTGCAGTGATCACAGTTTTAATGGGCAAAGAGACGAGCACATTGACTGATGCTTGGTGATCTCCGGTGCTTCTTGAATCGGGTGTTAACCAAAACTGACATCCTCCTGAGCAAGAGGAAAAACTTAAAAGATGAAAGGGAAATGATAAATGCAAGTTGCTTAGAAATGTTTTATTAGGTCACCAAAACAACTAACTGCGGTTGCATAGAAGGGCTTTTCCGATTCAAAACTTGCCTTAGTTGAAAGAAAACACGGAAGCAATCAAAATATTTATGTGTATGTGCCAATGTTTATAGGTTATATAAAATAAATAGGGAAAATTACAGTCATGAATAAAACTTAACAGCTAGAAAATGCAGACATTGATAAAGGAATTTAAAAGTTATCTGAAAGGCATCCTGGGCCAGCCATACAAGAAAAGTCCTTCAGTTTTTTCAGTTTCCTGGGATCAAAGCACCAGTAGAGTCAATTTAAGGTAAGGATGAAAAGATGTGGAGAAAATACGGAATAAATATGATTAATAAATATTATTGCAGGGTATTAGGAAAAGGGCAGGTTGGTTGATGTCTTTCTCTTACATTAAAAATGTCTCTTCCGGCAACATCTAGACAGATTTTCAAAATTGCACTTAATAGTGTTAAATAAATAAAACTGACAGGATTACTTGTTGCAAAGCCAATGAAGAGGGCTATCTGAAGGCCGATGATAGCTGTTCTTAGTGCATCTCAGAATAGGAGTGAAGTTTCAGAGATGTAGAAAAGAGCTTCTGGATTGCTATAAGCCATGAACCGTGAATTTGGGTAACTGTGACCTTGTTTAGCCTGTCATGAATTTTAGGCAAAATCATGAAAGAAACAATGTGGTACATGATCAATCATTGATGAAGTGGCTATGCAACTCATGCTTGTCAGCACTGTTATGCAGAAGAGCATTCTTTTGTAATTTTTTGTTGTTGTTGTTTTGGCTGTTGCTTTCTGCAGTTACCAGATTGGCATAAAAAGGTTTAGATGATTTTTAAAGTTATTGTTATTTTTGAAGGTCAGAAGCTCCCTAAAGAGTGGGGTCCGTTCTCTCTCACTGGAAAGCTTTAGTTCAGCACTAGCTGCTGTTATGAAAGATTAGCAGTTGCTTAAGCCAAATGCTTGAGCTCAAAACAGAATTTAAAGGGGGGGTTCACTTCCATTATTGTCTTAATATCCTTAATATGTTCTTTTGGTTTCCTGGCATTGTAGTAGGTATGTATTTATAGATGCTATTTTCTCCTCTCCCCTGTGCAGCGGTGTCTGTAACATGTCCCTTGGTTAACCATTTCCCCTTGGTACTTTTGCCCTTGCATACTGTGCTATACTTGGTTACATTGTTCTGCCTTTGTCTTCTATCAGGGCAAAGATAGGAGTGCAACAGTGAAGAGATCTTCAGAGTGTCCATCACTCCTGTTGACACATCAGCTGCCCGAGTGTTGTTGCGACTACTTGGCAGCGCCTGGATTGCCATTTGTATCTGATGGGCTGGGGACCAGCAGCAGGAGCATTAGGAAGAACATTTATAAGTGTCGTGGGGCTTGTCCTCAGTGTCATTAAATTATTGGTGGCAACAGTAGCGGGGAATAGGCTCATCACTATGCTTTCAGGGTGCAGCCTTGCAACGTTTTGTTCGAGGGATCACTGGGTTTGCTTCTGCTGATGGCCTTTTGTTTGCTTCTGGGCTGCTCTTCACAGATGGCAAAAGCAGCAGTCGAGTTCCCCTCAGCAGGAGCCATGACAAATGCCCTTCCAGAACAGAACTTGAGAGCAGGTTTTGGAAGGAAGCTGTATGGCATTGGCTAATTTGTTGTTCTAAAACTGGCCTCTGGCAGAGATTTGGCTCTGAACCCCTTAGGACCTGCAGAGACCATTTTGAGCTTTAGAGGGCACCTCTTTGTTGGTACTCGCTGCCACAAAAGGAAGACTTACTTTGCTCCAGTTTACTGGCACACTTCCTTGAAAGCTTTTCCAAGTTCTTCTCCATCTTTTCCAAGAAAGAAGCGTATGAATGGATCGAAAGTTCCTCTCAAAGTAAGTGTTCATAGCTCTTTGTCAGTCTTTGTTTTTACCTGCTGTTTGCATACCGTGTGGCCTAGATGGTTTTTCTGCCTTAGAGGCACATCTGTCTTCAGTACTTTTACTTCTGTTACCTTCTGGTTTTGGAGATGTGTAGCACAGACCATTTCAGTGACCTGTAGCAGTGTCAGGTGCAGAGGAACAGGCCAGCAAGTTTCTTATTCTCAGTGAAGGACAGTTTGCAAGCTTGCAAGCCGGCCTTTATGGTGTCAAAATCGCAGTTTTCTTTCTTGCCCTCTTGAAGGCTAAGTTGAGTCATCCAGGAACTTGGGATTTGAATGTTTAAGGACATGTTCCAGTCAAAGAATCGGGTTTACATAACTCTGCTTTCCAGTCAGATGTTACGAGATGGAGAAATGAAAGCTCCAGTTTAGTTTAATTAGGGTGGAAAAACAGAACTTAAGTGAAAAATACAGAACCTTAGAATTACTTGGTTTTGTCCCTGCCAACACTGAGGAAAGGCTATCTTACTGTAGGAAGTGCAGTCAGTTAGTAAAGACCTGAAAGAGAAGTGGGGCATTAGTCATGCTCCTGTCTTTCTGGTAAATGTCCTTGTATTAGCCAGACCCGAGGGCAGGACACTGCCGTGTGCGTGAGCACATGCGTGTGCTGGTTCAGCTGGAGCCTTGGCAAGCGCTGCTGCGGCCACAGGTTAAGTGATGGTGAGTCAGTCACAAGTGTTTGCCCTCGCAGGATGTAATGAAGTCCACTGATCTGCTGGTGCTCTTCTGCATCGTGAAGATGGCAAGGGTAAAGGGATGGTTGAAGAATTTCTATAGCAGTTGCTTTTAAATGAGTTCATGGGGAAACCTCTGCAAGCTTTCAATAACGTGCGTACTACAGCCTAGCTCTAAGCGGGGCATCAGACTGCTTCGTAACCCTGAATACAGAAAAGCAGCTCCGGGGTAATTCACTTGTGCTGTCTTCTGCTTGTAGCTGTAGGAATCTTCTGAAGCCAGCGAAAGTTCAGACCATGCCTTTGGCAGTTACTCCAGAACTGCTCTACTGTAAGAGAAGATTGCGTCCTCCAGAAGAGCCAAAAGCTGCGGCTGATGGGTAAGTGCTGACCACTGCATCCTGAGCGAACGCATGGGCACCACCATGCCTGTCGTTTAGTTGGAGGGAGGGAGGAGGGTTGCTCTTTTTCTTTAATGTAGCAAAACAGCATTTCACTTGCCCAGAAAAGGGAGAAGAGACACTTCATACACCACCATGTGCAGGCAAGATTCTTACTCTTCCCGCAGTCCACAAAATCTCTGCACGCTGCCTAGAACTTCCCACTATCACACTGATTTCCAAGTTTGTAAATACATCCCGAGATGACACCGGAAACTTACAGCTGTGGCAGCAAATCTAAAATCAAGGGCAGTTTAACTTTCTGAAAAATCCTTTTTACATCAAATGTAGAGATCTCTAGTGTTCTGTTGTTACAACTTACGCTGCATTCCACAAGTTTCTGGCACTTATTATTGCAGTACAGTAGCAAAATAATATAGCAAGCTTCAATTACTGCAAGTGCAGATTAAGTTTAGACTTACTTCAGATTCTGATCCTCACTGTAATTAATATTAGACATGACTGAGGATGCCCAAAGGTTACACCTCTCCATTCCAGGAAAAAAAGCTTCATTAGATCAACTTTCTGATTTTAATATTGATCCATCTGAATATGGCAAGTGTTTCTAGATCAATCGGTGTAGTCACTGTCAAAGCGACAGGAAGCGTGGCAGGAAGGACAAAGCCATGAAATCAGCTTTCAGGGATCAGTTTGAGGTTGGTGGTTGGTGCTTTTTGACCACACCTCCAGCCTCAGTTCTTTAATTGCTAATGGGAATATGCACCGGGCTTCCTGCAGCACAATGCAGTGCATGAGAAGAGCCCACGGTGGCGTGGGCCTCATCAGTACCCCTGTTCATCCAGCCACCATGCAGAGGTGCCCTGCTCTGAGTAAGGGCTTGACAGCTTGCTGGGGAAGTCTTCCTAGAACTTCTAAATGGAAACAACTCCAGAAATGCTGTTCTTGCATGTATCTTAAAAAATCCTAACTGTCGAGAACTGAGTAATAGCCTTCTCAGTTTTGTTTCCTTAGAGATAGTATGGAATAGCACGGGGACAATACCCTGTACTACCAGGTATAGTGAGGTCTCTGTGCTAATTTACCATGCTGAATGAAAACGTGAGACTGAGTTACGTACACCACTACCCTTTTTCTAGCAGTTAAGTGAGAGGGGTTTCTCTCTATAAGCCAGGTGTAGACAGGAGCTCTCAGGCAGTGAATTCCCACAGGACTGTTTTTTAGTTTGTTCCATCACGCTTGTAAAATAGGAGTAGCACTTCCTTTCTGGGCAAGGAGGTATAAGGATAAATCTGTATCTGAGGTAAGCAAATATGATGATGAGGTACATAAATATAGCCTGATAGGTACCTGTTAGGAATCTGTCTGCTTTAAATGTTTCTGTTAAGACTTGTCTGTGTCGCTTATACTTTCTCCTGCTAAGCCCTATTCCTCTCTATGCTGCCTTCATCCTCATACCAGCAAGGAGCCTGGCCTTCTCCCAGGTGCTGCCAGATTAAGATGGTGAGCCCTGTGCAGGATGACCACCTACTAAGAAAAAAGGTAAAGCAGGAAGAGTAAAGTTGCGTGTGTTAGCGTTTTCTTTTTGAGCTGAGTAAACACTAATCCCTCTGGGAGGTTTGCTCTGCTAGATGAGAACTACACAAGAAGACACCAATGGCTCCTACTAGATGTCATGCTGCTTTCTGTAGTGTGTTCTACCTCCTACTCTTGCCTAGTTCTGACAGTCTGTGTGGTATGCCTGCAGTGCATGCTCAAGGCGCTAAGGGTTAATGCAGATGGGAAAAGTTGTCCTAGTACGTATGACTCAACTGTAAAAACTTAGTGCTTCTGTTTGAATGAGTAAGAATACTTTTTAAATTATCTGCTTTTTTATTTCTAAACAAAGAGGGGAAAAGAAAAAAAGAAGGACCAAAGCCTCTTTTGTTAAATAGACTGAAACTGAGATGCTGCAAGGAAAGCAGCTGCCAGACTGCCATTTAAAGCACTTGAATACCCAGGGCTTTGGGGAGATGTCCCGCTGCTCGTTGCAGGATCACTAACCTGATGAATAGCTGTTATGCAGCATTTGGTCATGAAGTGCTTAAGGAAATACACACCCGGGCGTCTTCTGGTGGTTTAAAAGCAGAGCTGGTCAGAAATAAGGCTAAAAGGTGTACATCAGCAGCCAAGGCGCCCTGGTGACCTGCAGGATTGCAGAAACCTTGGTGAAAGTCTCTGCCAGCCCCCTGAGCTGTGCTGGAAATTCTGTGGCAGCAGAAGGTGTGTTTGACAGCAGCTCTGCCAGGGCTCAGAAAGCTCCTCCACCGCCAGAATACGAGAACCTTTGCCTGCTTCTGTTACAGCTGGAATGTAAAGAGAACACTGGACAAGTACATTAACTGAACAAAAATCCATATGCCTTTGACACTGCCTATGTAGGTTATACATACAGTAACTGAAAGAATGGCATTTTTACTATTATGTATCTTGTTTCTCTGGAAGTAATTAACATACTCAGTAACTCAGCTGGATATAAAATGATTTCAGAGTCTTTTTTTTTAATTACGGTTTAATTCATTACAGCAACTACTGCTGTAAACATAACAATTCTTAAGGTTTATCTTGAATCATTTTCTCAGGAGTGACACCCAGGTTACGGAAGACTGAACTGAGCCAAGAACACCGCTGTCAATCTCCACCTTTGTGCCAAGAAAACTGGCTACAAGTGAGTGACAATGCTGGGGTGTTGCTCTGTTTTTAAATCGTGAAGTCCGATACCTGTTCTCTGTTCTTGGTAGGGCCAACATCTGTAACAGTTACACTCACCATCTCAGAATTAACGTGCAACAAGAAGAAATACTGCTCAGGAACAGGGTTAGTGGATTTTCTAGACAGCCCAAAGAAGAACTGTATTGTCAAAGTTTTGCTGAGACGCTACATCATTGGATTCTCTGCTGCCATAATTATGAGAACTAAAAGAGACCATGAGTTGGAGGTTTTAGTTCCAAAGCACAGCTGCAGCTGACACTCCTGGCCTGCCACCGTAAGAGATACTCAAGCTTTAAGACAGGTGGCTTGCAATCCTTTATTTTAATACTTGGAAATCAGCATGATCTTGTGCCAATACCTAAAACTGAAAGGATAAAATCTTCAATAACTCTACTTGAAAGATATGTAAAAATTACAGCAAGTGTAGACAAGAGATTTCATTTTGGGTTTTTATTATAAAAGTAAAATAAAAATACGCATTTTAAAAGCACTTTTTTTTAAAAGGAACAGATATTAAAAAACTATTTACAAATAGGAAAATGCCAAACTTGAAAAAAATTTTTAATGAGGCCCCAAAGTTAAGTTTAAATACATTATTTGAAATATACAAGATTGGGTTTTTTTGGATTCTCTTTTCTCTGAGTTGTCATTGTTGTGATTAAAGTCATGGTTTTTCTTTGCCAGCTATTTTATGAGCCTTTTTCATGCAACTGTGCTGCAAAAATTATGAAGAGAGCAACTAGAAACTGTATCCTTTGATTGCTCTGTGTGCCTTACCTCTTTTTATTAAATGAGTTGGCATTACGCGTTAACAAGGAGTGACTTTCATCTATAAAAGAAAATCTTCACAAACCAGAGAAGCTCAATCAGTCATTCACAGTGTCCAGTCCTGGGTGTTAATGCAGCAGTAGAGCCCTCGTTATTGTATATGGCTTGTAAATGAATAAAATTAAATGTACTTGAGGAAGGAAGCAATGGCTAGGAGTCACACGCTCAAGTCGCTGTTGGTTCGGGTCGTGGGTGGTTCCTCCAGCACACTTTTGGTTGTGAACTCACTTCCCTCTGACCAGGAGGACAGCGATGTAATTTTAAATGTCGCATTTGCTCCCCTAACTGCATATTGCTAATTGAATATTACTAGTTGGCTATATAATTGCTTTGCGCTGAACTTTCATGTCCGTAGCCCAGGGTCATTTTGCTAAGGGTTACCGAGGACTTGCTGTTCAGAGAGTCTGAGTAAGTAAAGCTCAGTTTGCGCAAGGAGGTCTCCACACCGCTGTCACACATGCTTTCGTTGTCTTGAAATCTGCTATTGTAAAGCTCACCTGAGGGACAGAGAAAAGGGAAACGTATTATCATTTGCGTTGCTTCAGTAATGTTGCTTTCAGGAAAGCCTGAGGAACGCAGACCAGTAAGGTTAAAGCTCTTCTGCAGGAAAATAACTGTAACTTTAAATAGTACAATAGGAAAAGCTGTAGTGAATGTTTTCATTGACCAAAGCCTGGGATCTGCTGCACTGCTGGCAGAGATCCATGGCAGCTGGAGCTTGGATGGGATGGGAAGCCTGGCGCTCTGCTGGCACCAGTGCTCTCACCACACCAGTCAGGACTCTGCCTGAGTGTGGCACTAACAGGTTCTCAGAGTCATAGTATACAGCTCCAGAATGAGGCTCCTAAAATCTTCTCATGTCATTTCACTTACAGATTTGAGACAAATACTTGAACAATTTTTGTCTAGTAAGTAAGCCTGAAACACGAAGAAGTCAGCAGCAGCTGTTATCTGTGCAAGATCCGCAAGAGGAGCACCTGACTGCAAGAGAACAGCACCTGAGTTGAAGGTACGATGTGGGCTCAGTGTCACCAAAACAGCGGTCAGCATATTAGAGTTCAGTATTATTTTTCTAAACAACCATCTTAAATAAATGATGTAATGCATTCCATTCATGTTGCACAGCAGCAGAAACCCTCTTACACTTCAAGATTAATCTAAAGAGGCAGTATGTGTACAAGCACCTTTCTGGATAGGTGTGAAAGTTTATTCCAGGACTGAATAAACAGTTTTCTGTAGAGAGTAAACTGGTAACGTTAGACCAGGATGGGGTTACTGGGGTGTTTCTGTTTCCTTTCCAGAAGTATCTATAGGTTTCCACATGAGAGTGCTGGCAGCACTGCTGCTCTTTGAACAGGGCATCGGGGAGGAAACAGAGGTTTTTGTTACTTAACAGGGCCAGGCAGTGACTGAACATCCCTGATGACCTACTGCCTTCTCACAACCTCCGTTTTTCTGTTGGTAGAGTCCCCTGCCCAAAAAAAACAAGGACCTCCATCGCTGAAGTTGCTCAAAACTCAACTGGACAGGACAGAGGCAACCTCAGGTAATGTTATACTGGCCCTGCTCGGAGGAGGCAGTTGGACAGCCTGGCTGCTGGAACGCCCTTGTAACCTAAACCATCTCAGTTTCTCTGCCTACACTACACTGGGCCATTGCGGAGTGCCACACAATGTGGGAGGAGAAATTTAATACCAAAGTCTTACCGAGACATTTATGAACATAAAACATTTTTGTTTATCCAGATATGAGGGGGAAAAAAGTAGTCAAAAGGTAATGGCACATGTACAGGCCTGGGAGCTCATTGCCTAGTTTTTATCCCCAGTCCATTCGAGGAGTTATTGTCGGTAAATGCCAGATGTCTGTTTTAGAAAAGGGAGGCAGTTCAATCAATACTGTAATGCAGGGCCACAGATTCAAACGGTCCATTTTTCCCCTCTTCTAGGCCTAGGAAATGTCTATGACGACAAAGCTGCAGTAAGCAGTGCGGGGCACTGTGTTTAAGAAACTGTCCTAGGTAGGGTGGGAGAATGGAAAAAACAGCTTCAATAAAGCTTCTGATGTTTTGCTGTCAAGTTTACCTGTCTCTCCATTTGCAAAGGTGGGTGGTGATGACAATGGAAGAGCTTCTGCTATATTGTCCTCCAGTTGAGACAGGCTTTGTGAGGTGGATAGTGCTTTCTGGATGGTTTCAATGGCTTCTGTGTGATCCATCTGTCTCAAAGCAGTGATCAACTCTTGAACTGTACCACCAGAAACCTAAGAGAGAAGACACCAGATGCTCACCCATCATCCAGGTAGACTAAAACCAAAGCGCTGCGCTGCCTCACTGCGCAGGAGGAAAATGTTCTCTACGTGTCTGAGTGTTCTTTAGAACTTGTTACAGCTACGTTACCTCATAGTTATCTAGCAGAGTTTTTGATGGGGAAGGGCTCAACCTGAACGCGTTATTAAGTATGCCAAGACCCAGTTTTTGTGCCAGAGTGGACCAGTTTTTGTTTGGATCAGGCAGTTCCAACAGTTTGTAAAGCTGCATCTTGGAACTTTCGTTTAGGTCTCTCAAATGTCCTGGGGAACAGAAAAATATGTTAGCTTATTATTTATACAAAACACACACCTGTTTGTTCCTAAGCAGAAACAAAGCCAAATGAGAGAGTATTTTAGTGCCTGCCAATCCCAGCGTTGACTACTGTATTGCTGTAATACTGAAAAGGTACTCCTTCATGTCCTTGTGACCCACCTTGCAACAGTCATACTCATTCTCTGAATGAGTGGGTGGGAGAGTACCTCTTCGCCCTCCCCAGGTCAGTTACAAGCTATTGCAAGACAAGGTCTTCTGCAAGTGGGCTTTCAGTACTCAGTTACTAGAGGGATGTTGCCAAGTCTTCTTTATAGATGTTACCTTGTGTCAGTAAGTCCTCTGAAACCACTGCTGCCTCGTAGGGTTTGCCACTTAATATGTCATATACCTAAGAGGATACATTAAAGTCAGTATTCAACAGAAACCTCGTTAGTGTTCATTATCTTGACGAGTCTCAGTAATACTGTATAAAGCCCTGATTCCATCTGTAAATAGGCAATTTTTTCTGTCTCAGGATTAGTACAACTAAAGATACTGTAGAAGACCTGTGCAAAGCTAGAGGGAGGAATCTTGATAAATTCATCTCCCTTGCCCTGTAGCTATGTCATCTGGCAACTGTTTTCAAGATAGAGAGGAAGTCTTTGGAGTAGAGTGGCAGTGGCTAAGTGAGGAGTTAGGGCCTGGCTGCAGCTAGTAATTTAAAACAAAGCCTGGGTTAGATTTTCACCTAAGGCTGGTGCCACTGCCCAGCTCCCTGTGACTAGAGATGCCGACTGCCCGTACCCTTACACTCACACCAAACCAACTGCACATAATCAGCTACTAAAGCAGGGATCCCGCAGCCTGATCACTGCTGGGGCAGGAAAGGATGTGTCTTCCCCCCACTGCAGTTCTGAAGAACACGCAGCACAGAAACCTGCTAGAGAGTCTCCAAGTATGGGCCTTCAAACACAAGCTGCCCAACCACCTAAATACTTTTCTGTATTGAAGACTGTAGTTCAACTATTTCAAGTCATCCCTGGTCCTGCCTGTTCAGTAGAAGTAGTCTGTTAAGTGGAGCTTCCTTCCAATGCCATTGCATGGGGTTTTTTGCGGAGGAAGTAGTTTAATTTTTGATGGCAAATGGCTCGTCACCATTGAAGTAACTGTGGATACAGTGAAAGGAGTTGGCTGAGAGCTAAACAATCATTTATTATTAAAAACACATACCTCACAGTTGGCCGCCATATCCAGCGGTGTTGTTCCAGGCACAATCCCTTCATCGTCGTCTTCATCATCTTTCACATCATCTAGATCAAACAATGGCTCAAAGTTCTCAATGTGAGGATTTGCACCTGGAAAACAAGTGTGGAAATATATTCCTAAGAAAAGGCTTCAGGTTTCTTTTCAACAATATATGCTAAGTCATGAATGGCGAATCTGCTAGTTTAGCCACACAAGCTAAATTGTATTTTATACTTGTATCAGCTGACTTCCTGACCCATTCTTGGCTCAGAGCATAGCATGTACGTGACGAAGCAATGGCGTGGTGGTTCTTTTTCTAGTGTCAGAGAAAGTATGGGTATTCTTAAAAGACCAATCACACAGCCAGAGCAATGAGAGGCTTGGATTTCTGTTTCAAATGAGAAAAATCAGGCCTAAATACAATTGAAAAAATGTTCTAATAAATATTCAAAAACTAACTCTTCCACAGTGTTATGAAATAGGAGACACTAACAAGCTCATGTGTCAGTGACCAATTTTTTTTTCGTTTTAAAGCAGTCCCATGCTTATCCCAACTATGAAAACAAGCTCTCTTCTGCTTCTTCAGCTATAAAAAACTGCAAAAGAAATACTCAAAAAACTTCCAAGAGTGCTCAAGAGATTTCCTTGACTAACGTAATTTGCTTTTTTTAGCCATTAGATGGTGCTCGAGAGTAGCCTGGCACCTGAAAGTAGGGCTTTCCCGAGGAAACAACCACCTTCGTGCTTTTAACATCTGATTTCTTATGGTCATTAAATAAGTTCACCGGCACATTCTTTTCTGGTTGCAGCCTTCTAACCTGAATTGTCACTGCGAAAGAAAGTTCGCCAGCAAATACCCATGCTCATACCTGCTGCTTTGAGAACTGCTGCCAGTTTTGTAGAGCCCCTTCCAGCTGCTATGTGAAGAGGAGTTGTCCCATCGTATGTAGTGCTGTCCACATCTGCATCACCCTGGGTTTTTATTGAATGACAAAAGTAAAAGTGCTACTATACAAGTGTCTGTACAGTACAGCTTCAGCGACTCACATCTGCATAAACATTGCTACTGTACCAATAAGCACCATGCCATGCCAGGTGGCCTAAACCCTCTAATCATTGTCTGAAAAGAAGAAAAAGGCAAGTAACAAGTGCCTGCCTGCGGGAACGGAGGGTGGTTGCCTGCTCCAGCGTTAGGGCAGGAGGCACGGCAGCGTATCAACCCAAACAGGTCAGGCAGATCAAAGCCACTTTGCATCCCATGTATGAGTCGTGCCATCCGATGACCCCCGGCGTTGGGAGCCTGGAGGGGCGTGCGCAGCGATCTGCCTGCCTGCTGCTCCCCAGAGAGCGGGCGGCACGCGCCTCACCCACCGCGCGTGGAATGAAGCACGGTAGGATCAAGGCGTTAAAGAGATGAGACAAATATTTATAGATACACACAACTATCTCTCTGTGCCCATCTGTATACACATTCCACTTCACACAGATGAAGTGATTAACTTGTTCACGAGTAGTTCCATTGGCTGCCAGGATTACTTGGTGCAAAGGAAACATGGCATAGGCGGTTGGGTCAGGGTCACAAACTGTAAATTCCTCAGCTCGGGCAAAAGGTTCACCAGGAATGCTGAACAAGTAATAATGAGTAACAGCAATAATGGTGCCACTATAACAAGTAATCGAGTCAATAAACAGGAAAACCCCCTTACTTCTGTTCTTCTGAAGCACTTAAGGGTTTTCAAGAATTTTAAAATATGTAAGTGAAAAGACCTGGAAGCAAGAAATTCTGCCCTTACCTCAAGCAAAAGGCAGCCTGCCAAAGGGATGTTCTCTTGTTCAACAGCTAAATGCAGTGCAGTTCGTCCAGATTTTTGTTCCTGAGCATTGACATTAACTCCAGCAGCAAGCAGCTGTTTGAGGCAGGACATGCTATTTGCCATCACCGCCATGTGAATTGCACTGAGACCTACACAAAACAAACCCCATCCATCATGTGCATTAATATTTGAAAAATACAAAAACGTCAGAGTAAGGAGTTTGAGAGTGGCCACATCTATGAGAACTGTAAAACGAGTGAGACTTAGCTGAGCACAAGTGACTTCTTGTGCCTGCTTATACACTGAAAGATGGTGTTAACAAAAATGTTCTTTGTGCATAAATTGGAACTAGTTGTGTTACTGACAGCGAGGCAAAGCCATGCATGGGGAAAAAAAAAAAAAAAATCAGCAGATTACAAGGTGGAACAGAAGGTGGGAACTGAAGAGCTCACCTAGAGCATCTCTTTGCCTCAAAGGAGAGTAGCCTTAGAAAGAAAATCTGCATATAGGTACTAAACAAGTAGGTACCCTGCACTGGCCCCATCTGCTACTGAACATCTCTTCTAGAAGCAGTCTGGGGAATAATTGGTGTATTTTAATATTATCTTCCTGTAAAGTCACACTGCCCTATCACCTCAAGATTACCTGCACCAGCTCAAAAAGAGAATAATAAAGCCTTGTATTTAAAAAACACATACACACCTACCCCAAACCAGCCAAACAAAAAAGCCCCTCTCTGAGGAACTTAACACAGTTTTTAAAATCTTACAATGACACTTTTAGGTCAGACATCTTATAATCTATTAAACCAGGAGTACTAAATTCAAATGACGTGCCTGCCTTTTGGTTATTTTAAAAGTTCTGTTTCTGTATGGTCACAAAGTGCCAGATAAGAAACTCGACACTGATCCAAAAATTATTTCTGAGGGGATTTCATTCACTGGAGAGGAAGAGGAAACAGTTTCTTCTGGGGGGATTTTTTTAAAAATCAGTGGTTGCATAAGGTATCTCAGGAAGAAGCTTGAAGCTTTGTGAGATTAAAAAGAATATACAGTAACAAAAATGCAAATCCATACTGCGTCACGTGGCCATGGCCGATCGGTATGTTCTGTATAACTAGAAAACCTACACGTCTATGTTCTCTCATCTGTGACTGCAGGCAGATAAAATCCAAGGACAACATATGCAAATTGGGGAAAGGTCCTATTTCCAAGGTCTGTATCTACCTGTGTAGAAACACTGTGCTGGCAGGAATTGAGGTGTGCTTGTCCAGTAGGTAAGTGTAAAACATAGCCATTATCTTTCCATACCTTCACCATTGGAAACGTTGACCATCGGCAAGATCTTCTTATGCTTGAGGAGTAGACTCAAAATCTTGTCGTCTCCTTCAGTAGCAGCTAAATGTAAGACAGAATTACCATGGCGATCCAGAAGGCTGACGTCTGCTCCAGCCTTCAGCAGGTCTTCTACCACCTCAGCCTGCTTTGTGATCACCGCCAGGTGCAAGGGGGTCTAGAGGTGACAGAAGCAAGCCATGAGAAGATAAATGACAGCTACATCACTTCTGCAGAAATCTCTTAAACCCATACAGGCTCCTAGGGTGAGATGTTACTCCACTTCAAGGCTAAGAGAAATTAAAAGCTTGCATATGTGTACTCACTTTTTTCACTTTTTTTTTTTTTTTTTTTTTACTGCATACTACAAATATGGTTCCTACTTACTGCAAATAAAAACTGCCTTGCCAGTGTCAGCAGTTGGACTGGGGGAGGAACAAAGATGTTGCCTACTCTATAAGCCAGGGCCCTGACCTGGCTATCAGAGCACTGTGGTGCAAGAGCCTGGGCGAGTGAGCTGTAACCCTGCGTCCAGCTGCCCTGCAGCCAAGTGAGTGCCACGGAGGGAGCACACGCACCTCCCCGGGCCGGCTCAAATCCACCTCTGGCGCTGAACTATGCTCGAGTTTTGCTCCTGAACAAGAGGTTTGCTGCCGTGGGCTTAGGATTTCCTTATCCCTCAAAATGACTGCGCGGAAAAGGAGAAAATCCTGCTGTTCTGTGCATTGTGTCAAAGGGCAGAACCAGTCTGCATTCACGTGTCTAGCTAGCCGATTCCCTTTGCACGTTCTCCATTTTTGTGCAAAGACACCTGCAGCGCCAAGAGGTTTCAAGTACTTCCAGAGGTTGATTGTATACTGCACTACTGACAGTCTTGCCAGTGAAAAGCATCATGTAGAACATACTCAGAAATTTAGGTATTTAAACAGTAAGCATTGCAGTATGGTTTGGGAAATCATATTTCCAACACTAAAATAATCACAAAATTGCACAGAATTCCACCTCTATATCATTACCCTTATATTAGCAGAGGACTACAAAAAAAAACCACAAATTCCAGTTCCGTACAATAAGCTTGTGTTTGTCAACAGATTTGTCAACATACTTGCAGTTAATTACTGAATCCACCAAGTAGGTGTATGATTCAGCTTTCAGAGTATCTGTACAGAAGGAAAATTCTAGCCCAAGCCTACATTCCCTCCCACCACTGGCTTAAGGTTTAGGTAGAAGGCAGGAGGAGCTGTAGAGGTCCTGGTAGTTAGAGACTGATTTCTTGGGTGGAGCACAGCTCTTTCTGTTTCTGTTAAAGAGAGGGCACAGAATTCAATTCGGAATCTTTTGCTTGCTTTCATCAGCCTCCACCTTTCAAACTGGCTTTATATGAATGTAAAAATGAAATGTGAACAATAACAAAAAAATAGAAATAAACTCTCTGGGACTATCTGCGTAGAATAAAAACCTGCCGTTACTGTTCACAGCAAAAGAAATGACACAAATGTCAGAGTGCTGCCGTGTAATGTCCATCTGGTTACCTTTGGGACAACTGAACGGCGTGCACAGCTGAAAAGAGATTCTTCTCCAGGCAGGTTTCCCCAGCTCTTTTGAAAGCCTGCCTGTTACAATACAGAAGCTCAGACTCTGCCATAGATGAAGCTGAGGAAACAGAACCGTGCCTGGCAGGTAAGAGTTCTTTTCCTCGCAGGTAAAAGACACGGGGATGGGCTTTTTTGGGGTTTTGCTATAATGTGGATCTAGAAATGAAAGGGAACTCTTGGTGCTCATGTGATGGGCACAAATGCCATCTGGGCTATAGGAAGGGCACAGCTTGTTACAGCTTCTACACGCCTATAGATAACTGATGATGCAACAACTGACTCATGAGCCCGAGTTATCCTATGCTAGAAAGATCAAAAGAACGCAGAGTTGGCACGCTGTAATCCACACTGCTGGTTTAGTAACAGAGAGGCCAAATAACGAAGACATGAACTGAAGAAGTCTGTATTTTTGGCCTGTTCTACGATTAACCCTTGGAGACATTTCTGTTAGCATCAAGGGGAGTTATAAACTAAAACAGTGTAAAAAACGCTCCTGCTCCTCCTACCTCCACCACCTTACAGGATGTCATTGTGCTTCTAAACTTGTTTGCATTACAGTCTGATCTGGGCTCATTCCAACCAATAGAAGAAAAGTAAGACAGAAGGTAAGTTGTGCAATTTCTTTTTTACTGGCTGAACAATCAACACCACTTACACCACCGCAACTGCGCACCTGATAAAGGTCGTTTCTCATGTTAATGATGTCATTATAATTCAAATTAGGTATCACTTCCAAGAGGTTTTTCACCAGCTCCGTATGAAGGTGGATAATTGCTAAATGAAGGACGCTGAAACAAACAAAAACCAGATTAACAAAGTCACACTATTTTCAGATTTATTATAAAAATTTTAAAGTTTTGCCTTTTTTTTGTTTTGATTGAATTCTCACTGATATAAACAGTTGACTATCAGTGGTCGTGATTTCAGCACTAAATATCAGCACCTAAAATGAATCCCAACATTAAAAAAAAGCTAGACAGAAGGTAACTGTTTAACCCTTCAATCACAAAAGCAGATTCAGGATGGCTTTTGCTGGTCCTGAGCATAACTTAACTACTAGTCTAATAAATACAAACTTTGTAGCACAAAATAATTCTTCTGGAACTTGCTGGAATCCCCTGATTATTTGCTGTTTTGTTTTTTTGTTTTTT